TGCAGCATCAACAGATTTTTTCATTTACTTGTTCTACATGAAAAGTATATGCTTCACCTGATTTGTGTTAGAAAACATAATAGCTAAATATCATACCATCAGTAAAGCTGTCTGAAGCCTGTTGCTATGGAACTGACACATCTGAAAAACTGAAACCAAGATGCCATTTATCAGCAAAATAAAACCAGTTGTTGTGTAGAACTGTGTGAAGTATCTTTGCGTGTTAGGTTAATAATTATGTAAAAAACCTAGCTAGAAATGCTGTTCGTCTAACAAACTGTCCAGATTCTAATTATTAGAAAATACCACCAAGAATACAATAAAAATCTTATTATTGCCCGTAACTCAGTACTAGTTATTGCTCAGTCAACGTATTTAAAAATATGTTTATATGTATTTATATATATACAGAAATATCCAAAACACAAATTACTTTACTGTAAAGCAAATTAAAAAATCTTGACTTTCCTGTCCCAGTACTTTTCCACAGCACATTAAGAAGTCTTCCAAAGAAAAGTACAAAACCCCTTTTGTGTCATTTTGACCGCTAAACATCTGGAATTACTAATTAACTTCTAAAAAATCCTACCAAAAGGCTTGTACTCCTTCTAAGCAAGTAACCTTCCCGTCACTCAGAATTCCACTTGGGTTCATTTAAAGGAAGGGATTTGCTGATCCCTGGTGCTTGTGTTTAATTTGTGTATTAGTGTTGATCCTTTTCAACAGAGAATTCTACTGGAAGAGGGCTAAGTAGAGGGTACTTCTGTGCTTTTCAGAAAAAGAAAAGAAAAAACAAACAGAACAGACTCAGTAAATCTGTAATCAACACATTTGCACAAAACAGGGATCACATGTAAATATACAGTATATATTATATATAAATTTGTATATTCTTAATTTATTTGAATGAATTCACTGCAGACTTAGCAGGTATATTGTATATACGGAGCATGAACAGACACAATTTATAACTGTAACAAATACAAAAAATGCAAAAATTATCAAGAAAATTAAAAACCGAATGTACATTTGTCACAGAGATGACATCTAGATAAATTCATTGTGCCGATTAACCTGTCATAACCAGGGTTAACCAAAGCTGTCTTGTGGGGCTCTGTTCTGTTCCGCTCATCGAGCCTGTTTGCTGGGCCCTGAGCCCCACGTGCCACACGGCATCCCAGCCCAACCCACAGAGGTTCAATGGGGCAAGCAGGACACCCAGTGTTGCTCTATTATCTCATCATAAAGCTGTTGTTACCTGAGCAACAAAAAATACCCATCGCCCTGCTGGAATATTGCCACATCAGGACGAGCCCACAGGACAAAGCCAGCAGGTGAGGTCTCAGGACTTGCTCCGTTTTGCAGAGAGTGCAGTCAGGTCGTCCGCGATCGCTCCACGTGGTTTGTGACACTCGTACCCAGACCATCACTCTTGGGCCTCCCCGTGGGCTGGCCTGTTGTCAGCTTACCGTTCTGCACGTCTGCACCACTCGTGCTGACGCCCATCAGGAATGCTCTGCTCAAGACCATGAGCCATCATTACAGAAGACTTCCTTTATTCTTCTCCGCCGGGCTTGACAATCAAGGGGCTAAATCCCTTTTCACTAATGAAGTAAGTGAACACTTGCGCATCAATCATAATCATTCGGTGAATCACGGTCAGCCACAAATGATCCATTGATCAAAATGATGACAAAAACATGTAATAACTATCCAAAATCTATACAATTTATTTTAAATAAAAATGTAATGTAAAAAAAATGTTTCTTTTGATGTTCAGTCTGTATATACCATATTCACCATGATAATCGCAAACACAAGTGGACTGAAAATGAAATATTTATATCCTGTATGTTCAAGCCAGGAAACCTTAAGCCATTTCTCAGAACTGTTGTTCTAACTTTGCTTCTAGCTGAGTGCACTGTGATTAATTGCTTCTGCACAACAAACCTCAAACCAACAGATAATAAATAGTGCCATTTCCTGAACAGGGTATTAATTTTTAGAGCGCTGTGGGTTTAGATGGAGACTCTTGTCTGAACTACATTCCCCAGAAGGCTGTGGGGACTGTCCTGCCATCCTAAGTAAGGTGACACTTAAAGCCAGGAAGCTGAGGCTAGAAAGCCAACAGAGCCTCCATTAAGCAAATACACTAAAGAGATAAGTTAGCAGAGAAGGAAACAACACACTGCTGTACAAACAGAGTTGTGAAAGTGTAAGGTTGTTTTGGTCTAAGAGTCAGATGTTTGGGAGCCAGTAAGCAGCAGTTAAGCAGCCTGGTTGTATTTACAAGGACTAAATAATTCTTGCTCGAAGCTCATTGAAGAACTAGACTTTTATGTTATTTCTTAGAAAAATGTGAATAAAGCCCCATTTTCTACATCCTTATGAAGTGGAGTTTTATCTTGTGCATAGGTCTCCAATTCATGCTACCAGAAATGAGCATCTCTCACAGTTTGTACAGTTTTTGCAGTATTTCAAATCCGGTTATGTTCAGCATAAATGCTCACCACATCAAAAATATTTTTCCACCTTGCCTGGTTTAGACAGCTAAAAACCTTCTGCAATCCTACAGATTTTCAAAATATACGTCATGTCATTTGCCAAACCGCTCTGTACCACACGGTGTTGTGGGAAGCCGGAGCCTACCTGGAAAGCAACGAGCGCAAGGCAGGGTACACCCTGGACAGGACACCAGTCCACCGCAGGGCAACTGCAAGTCAATCACACACTATGTGGAGGCCATGGTAAAGGCCGAGGGGGGGAATTTGGCCCGGACACCGGGATAACTCCCTGCTCTTATTGAGAAATGCCCGGGGAGTTTTAATGACCACTGAGAGTCAGGACCTTGGTTTAACGTCACAGAAAGACAGCGCCCACTACAGTATAGTACCCCCACCACTATACTGGGGCATTAGGACCAACATAGACTGCAGGGTGGGCACCCCCGCTGGTCCCACTAGCTGGTCCCACTGGTCCCACTGGTCCAGCAGCAACCATAGCTTCCCAGGAGGTCTCCCATCCAGGTACTGGCCAGGCTCAACCCTGCTTAGCTTCAGTGGGTAGCCAGTTGAGAGCTGCAGGGTGATATGGCTGCTGGCAGTTTCAAAATATACATCCTGAACAATTTCTCTTAACAACTCAAGTTCTGTGAATGTTTGCATTATTTTCCAGGGCTGCAGTAACAAGAGAAATATACTGGAGAATTGTGAGATTTTAGGTCTATAAAAAGGGAAATGTGTCTCCCTTTTTATACACAAGTGTCTTCATTCCTACAAGCAGAATAAATTATAAATTACAAAGCCCAGCCTAGCTGGAACCCAGACGTCACCCACTGCCACAGCTCACGATGACTGCAACCCCCCAAAAAAGTGTAACTCAAGAAGTCACACTCTGCTCTCCAAATCACACAGCTCTCGTGGCAAATGTGGAATACCAAGAGCTTTTTCGCTCAAAGCTGGGCCTCGACCTGCAAACACTATACAATAGCAGCAAAGGACAAATGAAGTTGCAGCATCATGTAACATTTTAAGATTCTACAGTTCACTTGAAATGAATAATGAGTGTTAAAGCACTTATCCTACCACATCCCCTTCTAGGAACTTTCTGTACCCACTGGAGATAGCAGAACCCAAACCCTCTCCTTTCACACAACTTTCATGCAATATAGCTTACATACCAGGGTATCGGAGGGCTACATTCAAATCCACAGAAGCCCCAGCTGCAATGATTTAGTTTGAGTTAAAACACATGCTGCCCATTTGCACTCCCTTCCGTAAGAGGTTGTGGTGGGTGGGAGCCGATTTTTCTATAACACCAAAAGCAGCAATTTGGAAAAAAAAACAAACCTAAATACAGTACTTACAAACCTGCTGAAAGGGTGAAAGAGCTGTACTTGTGTGAGAGAAATGGACACCGTGAGGAAACTGCAGAAAATCCACAAAACTTGAAGACTGCACCCTACCAGACAGCGTGCCGGGAGCGTGCAGACCTAGAGACTAAGCTCATTCCCAAGGTTGTATTTGCACAGGGAAAAAAGCAGCTGGAAAAAACCATCCTTGCCCAGAGTGGTGATTACAAAGCAACACTCCCAGAACTAAACCACAGAGAGTGGCTTATCACACTGTTACGAGTTGTTTTCTTTTAAATGCTTTATAGTTAGTCACTTATGTTATAGCCCTTCAAGTGCTGGCTACTCTCTAACAACTCTCTAGCCAGAATCCATGTTTTGATTAAAGGTGTACAAAGATGATGATCTTCAATGATCTGGTAAGGGTTCCAGGAATATATAGCAGAAACAAATAACACAACACCTTTAATTTTAAAATATGAAAGTCTCCTGGACCTCTAATAGCAGTTTTTCAATGAATTCTTAGATTCTGAGATGCAAAAGGGCATGATAGCTGACTGCATAGCAAAACATCCTACATAGCATTGCAGTTGTACTCTTACAACCCCTCCCAGGAGCTTGAAGAAATTCACAGCAGACTGACCTGAGAAATATGAGTTTGCTTCCTGACCAGCTGCCACAAGATATCATGCGGAGGACAGCTGAGAAATCCCAGGTCATCGTGCCACACGCCATAGGGGTTGGCACACATTGCTGAGGACACCTGCTCAAGAGGGCCAGTGAAGGCAGAAGGCATCTGAAGATTCTTCATGAGCAGTTATTTGAGAAGGCATCTGAAGATTCTTCATGAGCAGTTATTTGAGAAAAACAAGCCCAGTCAAGAGGACTGTCATGGTGACACACTCAAGGAGCCCAGTTTATCCCTCACAAATCTGGACCATCAACTGCACCAACTCAGATTTGTTTTTTAAATCTGCATGGAGCATCAGCACATGTGAGGAAGGAGTCAGCTTAGCGGCTACATTTTTTCCCCAGAAACTAAAGCCATTTTTTGAAACAAAAACTCTGCAATGGAATAAAGAAAACTTGCAGGTTTAACCCAAATTCTTAAGATTCTCATTTCGAACACAAAGAAGGCGAAAACAAGCAATGCCTTTCGTAGCCTTTAATAAACAGTAGTTCAGAAGTCCAATTCACGTTTTATGCAAGTGGTTCACTTTCCCAAAACCATTTTCCATTACATTTTCTTAAACTTTCCAAGTTCTCTACAGGAGTCGGAGGGTTTCTTTTTAGGATGGTTACCAAAACAAAAATGCCTCGAGTCACCCTACTGTATATGCAAACCACTGCCAATCTATTCCAACTCTTTTCCTGAAGTCACACCTGCATCTGGTTGTTCAGTGATATTCCCTCTCCTCCAGCTGGAGGTATACTCTCTTCTCTCCTTTTTGGCTTTTTTTCCCCCATCAGAATGAACACATTTATTGGACAGAAACACTTAACAAAAGGAGAAAAACAAAATAATAAAATTACTACAAGTTTTAAATTAGAAAAAATACAAAGATTTACATCTATATTAACCCTGAGTCATGATTCTCAGAGCATGATTCAGTCACAAACCTGCAGTTTTTGTTTAATAAATATGTATAGCATACTTGTTTAAACAATACACAAAAACATTGGTATTTTGCACAAAGAAGTCATGCTGTCAGTAACTTGGTGACATGAGACTATGGCTTGATCACCACAAAGTCACACACTAATCCACACATCACCATTAGAGGAAACCAGACAAGTCCGAAACAGTTTTCCAAAACATGTTATTCATTAACCATGTACTGTGAAAAAGAAACGCCATTGCATTCGTTTTTAAGACAAAGCCTGAATCACAAGACAGTCGGACCTTCTAGCACAGAAATGTCTTTGCTACACCCTCCTAAAACAGCTCCTGCTATTTTTATTTTTTTCTGAGGGATGAGAGATACAGCTGCACACCACAAAAGCTATTTTCACATGCCTGACTAGTGCTCGAGCTTAGTTTGGAATTGCAGGGCTTCGGGGGCCTGGAAAGGCAGTCAAACCCACAGACAGGATGGGTTGGGGAGAGAGCTGACAGGGGAAGTAGGTCCAACAGAAACATTCCCACCAGGAACGATTCACTTATTTGCCCTCTGTTCTGGCACATGTGGTACACAAATGCAGCGCAGCCCAGGAAGACAGTTCATTGCAGAAACAGAAGTGAAATGTCAAAGGATCACACAGCACCTATATCAGCATGCAGCAGCAATTTTCTTGGTATAAAGCCTGCCACATCTACTAATTTGCACTGCAGTCATTGCCAGCTAAGAAAAGTTACCACATGTACTTCACTGTGTCTTTGTTTATGGAATGTAGAAAAGCCCTTTTTTTACTTATTAATCTGGAATAAGAGTTTTCCCTTTCTCCTGAGGGAAATAATCATGAAATGTCTCCAGTTTTCACAGTACTATCATTTAGCCTCAATTGTTTCTATTCAAAGGAATACGCAGCCAGGAACTCCGGTCTATATGCATCACTTTACATTGTTACTAGCACTTTCAGCTGCTACAAACATGGTATATTCTGACTGAAGCTTGTCTGTTATTCATCAGTATAATAAAAGACTTCACTGTAACTGCTTCTTTTATATTTCTCCTTTCCCTTCACATGAATCATGGAAAATAACTTTGCCAGAACATAACATCATGTACATGAGATTCCAAAATCCAACAGCAGAACACAAGCGATCTTGTTCTTCACACTGGAAAGTCACTTTCTTGCATTCTGTAAGAGATGAGTGGCTCTTACGGGATGCAGACCAGGGCGTTTTCTCCCCAAAGCTCAACTGCAGTACAGCATTTCAACGTCTAAACAAATACTTCATCTTTAACAGCTCACACCCTCCTTCATCTAAGAAACAAATTACACTTCAGGGTAAAAATAAAAAGTATGAAGAGAAATACTTTCTATCAAACTGCTTTCCTTTAATATTCTGTACATTGCGTTCAGTTACAGATGAGAGAGTTACTGTTTAAAATTCAGCATAAAAGAGGAGTGACAACTAGGTCCAGCATACTGGGGACACAAACAGGAAGCTACAGCTCATAGCCTTGGAACACGGGTCTGTGGGCTCTGTCATACTCATTAAGGTCTTGGAATGATGAGCAAAAAATACGCTTACAGTATCTTTTCCCCAGACCCAAAGGAAGCTACTGCCTAGACGTCCATCTGGCAGCTTAACAAGAAAAAAAAATGAATAGCATGATTCACACACACACTACTGGAACATCAATAATAATTACAGAATCAAAACTCAACCACATGAACTATGTGCTCATACTTTCATGACCTGTGACTTCTTCGAGCACAGGTAGGTTCCTGTGCAGACATCACCAGCTCAAACCAGGTCATGTCAAGCCACCTGTGTGCCCGGGGTTACGTCTGGCATTAACCCACCAGTCAGAGCGACCTGATTCACAGAGCCACCCGGCACTGCGCAGCTGAAAGAAGAGCAGCTCTGAAGGGCCGGCAGGCTGGAGGAGCCACATACACCCCCAACATTAAAAGTAACAAAGAATCAGAACCGAATGGGACGAATGGGATTTTCATGGTGTCTGAAATACACCAGGGCAGCTCGAGACCAGATTCGTGAGTTTGACTCAAACTGCATTGTTGGCTTAGGACACACTGGCACTGCAAGACCCTGGGAAGCTCAAATCCACAGTTCTTACTGAACACAGGAAACAAAAGAGGATAATTAGTTCTCCACTCTTCAGGAAGTACGCAAGTTAACCAAGAAAGAAACATCACCGACTTATCAGGTGTCTGTCATACAGCGCTACAGCGCCTTTAGATGTTAAATAAGTCTTTCAATGAATGACTACACTACAGCCTTTTAATCAGCTGTGCCTTCTGTAGAAAAAGAAAAACATTTTTCTAAACCAAAAAATATATTTCAAACACTGTAATCACAAAAGACTTAGTTGTCTTGATTTTTGTTTCCCAACAGACATTAATGAAGAAAAGACACTTCTAGCTAAATCTGCTCTGAAATTCCTTTATGCAGTTTAAGTCTCAGTTGTGCATTTGCGTGAATGAGATAAGCAGATCTAGATATTGCTGTATCTGTATTTGTGGTTCTCGTTTAACACATTTTGATAGTGGTGGAGAAGTACATTCGGCAGCGAGCCTCCCAGCTCTGACTCGTTTCCAGTGTGACTGAAAGGACTAGGACTGTGACTTGAAAACTAAAATCTGTGATAAAACGATTAAACGTCAGCAGCGCAATAATGACGCTTGGCCGTGTACGGTGAAGATCTGGCAGATGCAGCTGCGACTCCTGGCCACCGAGCAGGCGGCGTGCTCAGACGAACGGGGAGAGGTTGGGCACTTTGATGTTGATGTCCCCGATGTTGATGTTCCGGGGGATCTCGGGGAGGTTCATGTTCTTCACGGCCGACACAGCGCGGGCCGGCGCCGCCGAAAGGCCACCCTGAAAAACCACAGCAGACGAAAGCGCCTCAGACACGGGGAACGTTCTGCTGGCAGAGGCGAGGCAAACAGCCCTCGCATGACAGCCTGGCTTCCACATCAGTACCGATGGAGGCCCATCGAGAAAAGCAGAGGCCAAAACCAACACCTCCCAGTCAAGCCTAATTGCACTTCTCAGTTCTGAGGGTTACCCGGAAAGTTAGTTACCCCGTTCAAACATCTCCATCACGAAAGCTGCACTGTGAAGCAATGAAACTGGAATGAAAGCAATGGAAGAGGGACGGAGGCGAACCTGTTCCCATGGCACTGTGTGATGGGCAGTGACAAGACTCAGGGTACGGACAGACTCAAGCAGTCACGCACCCTGGCCTCCATCACCCACGCATGGAAGTCGGGGTGCTGTGCATCATCACTGCCCGTAACAACGTATTACACATGATCCCAGCAGTACAGTTGTATGCAAAAGTTTGGGCACCCCTGGCCAAATCACATGTTTTGTTGACATATTTCTGCAAATTTTAATGCAGAGTTTAACACTGAATTTAACACTTTGAAAAAAGTAAAACAGTAAATGTGGCATGTGCAAAAGTGTGGGCACCAGTGTTATTTTCTTGTAAGGTCTTAGAACTAAATTCGCAGAAATATGTCAAGTTTAAGTTGGTTCACTGCAGAGGTTGTCTTAACTTCTTTTCACTTAGAAAATCAATATAATATGTAATCTGGCTAAAAAAGTACAAACATGTATTTTATTGCATACCACTGTATACTCCCAACTGCTCCACAGTGCACAAAACCCAGCTTTCTGAATTCTTAAAATTCCTATTCACCTCCCTAGATGCAAGCTCCCTAGATGGTCATATGAAATCCTAACAGCTCCAGAGCTTTCTAGAGTCAGTAGACTAACCCAGGCTGCAGATGCTTTGACACATTCAACTCTGGGCTTTTTGGTCACACGATCGGCTAATCTGGCTCCTCCAGAGCACAGCTGGTCAGAAACAATTAAACAACTATCAAACTAAACCAGAGATACGATCTTATTACAAATTGTGTAAATCAGAGAACATTAAAACTGAGTTTTGTAAACTGTAAAATCAGTTGTAAATGTTGAACTGATGAAAATTTAAACCACATTAGCAACAGTCTATTCTAAAGATAGAAATGTGTATCCATGCAATAGCACCCTGTGGTTTAAAATGACTGCGAGTTACAATTACTAGAGAAGTGCCTCCCTATCTAATCTGGCCATGGAGCACTTTTGAGCAGGGAATATTTTGGCAAAACTCATACATGGTGTGGGAGATTTATAGATGCAGATGTTTTTCGGTATTGCTCAGGAGATGATTTGAAACATTTCCTTGTTTTGAATTGTACAAGGAACAAAATATGAAAGCAGGAAGAATAAAAAAACATGACAAACTGTTCTTTTGATAGGAGGTTAGACTAACTCTAGATTTAACTATAAAAATTGAAAAATGAAGCAAAAAAACTTAAAACAACACACTAATATAACAATTGAAAAAAAAGGATGTCCATCTTGCATATAAAAAGAGGAAGGCCAAATTTGTTCAAAAAAGGACTGTTATTTCTTAGCTTAAATGTTTGTAAAAAATAAACATAATTTAGGTAGGTAAAAATCTCTACATTTTGTGTTTTCACAAATTTGTTCTTTTCCCAGAAAACACAATGAAGTAACACTTGAAAATTTTTCAGATTTGCACCTATTCTGATTGTAAGGTCTATAAATATCAAAACCAGGGCTGGAGAGTTTCTCCACGCTGGCCAGCGGGTCCTCACAGGAATACGCTGAACAGGACTGATGCCGGGAGAACCCTGGTTTCAGGAAGAATCACTTCATACTGTACCAGCTCTCCCATTACGAACATATTATAAGTATAACGTACGTGCAACCTAAATACTGTTCAAACATCTTAGTATGTTTATTTCAAATTAAAAACTTGAGCAACATTTTCACAAATGTTGCTAGGATCCCTTTATTTTAACAGGGCAACTATTATTTTCAAACAGAACAGAGTTTGGCAAAAACAGTCTACTGGAACATCTTAATCAGTACCTGGTGTGATGAACAAGTATTTATTCAACTGACAGGAATTCAAAAACAACACATACTGTATATTTTAACACACTGTTTGCCACCACAGTAAATGAGAGGGTATCTGCGTTTCAGATACAAGGCACCTCTGCCACAGCCAGGAGTCTTATCCTGTGTGTGACAGTGGAGGGGACAGTTAAACTGGCCCAGCCATTGTTATGTGCTTTTGAGTAGCCAAATTATGCAGATGTAATGTCTAGCTGAGGCTGGGACTATAGGGAAGAGGTGTTTTGCCTTCTTAGAAGAGCAAACCCACATTCTCGGTGATGTCAGAGGGGAATAATGTGCTTACCTCTGACTTCTCCAGGCGAGTCTGATTCTCCACCTGAGCCACAATCTCATTCATGTTGGTCTCCAGCACCATCCCTCCCATCACCACCTCCTGCAGGATATAGTGGACCTGCAAGACGAAAAGCACACAGATCACCACCACTCACCTCCAGCTGCGTTTGCCTTGTTTTCACCATAGTTGGTCCATCTTTATTTTTAGCATAATTTGTATTGTAAAGCACTTCGAGAACAGTGCTTTTAAAGGTACTATCTAAAATAAAGCCTATTATCTGCAACAGACCTGGTTTTTCTTACTCACAGGGATAAGATATGAGAAGGGAAGGGCATATAGCCGACTCTTGATCTTTAGAGAAACTCAGAAATTATGTGATAGGCTGCCAAGTAGAGAACTTATAAACCTCAATCAAACCCAACAGCACAAAACAAGACAATGTTACTTTCTGCAATCATCACAGCATTTGGAAAAAAACTCTAAGCATAACCAGAGCATCTTGTGTCAAATCACACAATTCATTCAATTCCCTACAGCCGTGGGCCACCTCTGTGTTAAGCTTGTTCGGGACACCCATAAAGCTTTGTGTAAAGAAGCATTTCATATTCTGTACCCTAAATAAATTGCCTTTTAGTTTCTAGCTGTGACCCTGTGTCCTTGTTTCACTATGGAGTCTAATGTAGTGCCCAGGATTCAGACTGTGAGCGCAGGTTTCAAAGCTGAGAGCTGCGGCAAGAAAAAAACATAGAACTGGCAATTCCAAACCGGGTGGGTATGATGAAAACAACTGGTGATTCAAAATGTATAAAAAACAAAAACTGGACATAGATTTCACAGAATACATAAAGGACCATTTTTTAAACATCTCTTATCTGAGCCTTTTCACCTCCAATCCCTTAAGAGAGTTCACAAGCTCTTCCCAGAATACCACAGCCTGCAAAGCTCAACTGATAACAATGCTGAAACTGCCAAAAAGGAATTGTATTATCCAAAGAGGAGATATAAACAACAAACCATTCTCTGGCTCTCATGTCATAACCACACCTGCGCATATCACATGTTAATTAATGCAGGTGGCAATAAAAGGCAATAAAAGGTAAGATAAGGGGTAAAGGTCCATCTGTGAAATGGCTCATTTTCTCTGCCCTCAGTTTCCTTTGAAACCCCCTGTACTTTATCAATTTCCAAGAAACACCTGTGGGGTCAAAAGCAGAGACACAACAAGAAAAGGGCAATAAATCCCTTTGCAACCAATATACAACCTTATTAAGATTTTAAACTTTGAAATTCTAAGACTAAAGTCAGTTTACGTGTTGAAACATCCCGAGGTCTAAGTAACTCACCACCTCTAATGGGATCTGGTACCAAAAAGATGGCACAGGGATGCCATGGACTAGCTTTGTGAATACCAGACCTTGGAAGAGGGAGTGGCAAACACCCACAGTGCCATGAGTCTGACATTACACACAAAATTCCTGGGGAGACACTTGGAAAATGATAAAAGCAAACTGATCGGCATGGATTCTGAGTGCAGGAAACTATCGCAAGAGGATCCTGGGTGTGTAGACTCTTCATCAAGACCTTGGACCCTTGACATCTGAAGAGTAATGAAATGGCAGTTTAACTTGTCCTTGAATTAACTGAACAAGGATTGATTGCCTGATTGATTCCAGGACAAGGGTTGAGAGTAGAAGCATTTTGCAGTGAACCTGCAGAACACCACACCTGCATGTCAACAGCCTGATGAGTGCCATTACCTTATCCATGTGGAAAATGAGATCCAGTTCACAGACGTTTTCAAAGCATTTATCAAGGGTTTCCACAAAGACCTGCAACACAGAGAGGATTAATCCGAGTTCATTCGAACATGGACAGTTTTGTTTGAGTTGGGGAACTGAAACAGTCCAGCCCAAGACTGAAAAACACATTCTCTTTCTTGTATATACTTCCACAGATCTAAAACTAATCCACCATTTATCCACAGAGAACTGTGAATTATGCTAAAAAGGGAATGTCACGAGTGTTAGTGGACTTCAGACCATAGAATATCAAGCCTTCCCCAGACACAGAGCAATGTTTCAGGAAGCTTCAGACTCCCTGGACTTCTATAGCTTAACAGAATTTAGTGCACTACACAACTCACGGGTGCTGCTCAAGAGGTGCTGCTCTCTGGGGCCAACAGTAATGTTACCCAACAATACATATCACACACATAAAAACTTGTTTTAATCAACGTCAGCATATCAGAACGCTTAACAAAGGAGAAAATTGCAGATTAACTCAATATTAGAAGCTGTATAATTTAACATCACTAAGACATGTCACTTGATGTCAACCCTATATTGAAAATCACAGCCAACAACCTATCTCTCAGAACCTGTCCTTCATCAACAGAGGCAGTGGCAGACCCAAGAGAGGCACAGTTCCCAGTACATCCAACAAGAGTGTACTTACTTCTTCCGATGGAGAAAGTGAAACGTTTTCATTTGAAACAAAAATCATAAAAAACAGAAATATAAAGGCAAACCTTTCTCTCCAGCAGGTTCTTTAGCAAGGCAGAGGTATGGCTAGCAACAAACTAAAGCTTGGCTTTTTTTTTTACACACATAATGCATCTGAGGAGCCCATATTCAGGAGGCACCTTTCAATTCTAGTGTGACCCATTGCTACATTTTTCAAAGATATTAATGAACTCAGTTCACATTAGTGAGACCCGGGCAAAGCCACAGGAAAAAAAATGATCTCCATTTTTAATCATTTAGAGTCACATTATCTCCAGCAGAGTGAAATAGCACTCCTCACTCAAGTATGCAAAATGCATACATTTTGTGTTGGTACTGGACTGCTAAAGTTTGATTAATACAAATCTTTAAGCCTTCTGGATTACATCATTTTTATTTTATTAACTTAATAAAGTGAACCAATGGTTCAGGTGTAGGCTTGGCAGGGATAAAACCTCACTCCCTAGGAAAAGAGTTTGATGGCCACAAGAAAGATGCATTAGATCTAAATCCTTTCAGGTGTGTGACAAGGGAGGGAAATGGGAGAAATGGGGAAAATTTAGTATCGCCTGATGTATTAGAACAATGGCTGTCTTTGGAAGAGTAATTTCAACAGAGCAACTGCTGCAGTTGCACAAGAACACGATAAGACATGGGAATTAGCTTCTTCTTTCAACAGCTAAGCATACATACTGTACCTTAATCTAAATTAACTGTCAAGATCAAAATATCAACTTCCCTGGCCAAGTGCAATACAAGCTCCCAGACAGCACTGCACACTAACGTTCAGAGACTTTTTGAGATTAGTCATCTCATCCCTTTGGCAACAAGGTGAATTCATTTTTTTTAATTAAAATTTTTTAAAACATTTAAAGACAGAAATTGTCTGAGAACGAGTAGAAAGGCTGTGATGTTTTGGCAGGGCGGAGCGGTGGCTCTGTGGTTCAGGATCTGTGCCCGTGGCTGGAAGGTTGCCGGTTCAGATCCTGTGGCCGGCAGAGGAATCCTACTCTGTTGGGCCCCTGAGCAAGGCCCTTAACCCCAACTGCTCCAGGGGTGCTGCATAAATGGCTGACCCTGCGCTCTGACCCCAAGCTTCTCTCCCTGTCTGTGTGTCTCATGGAGAGCAAGCTGGGGTAGGCGAAAAGACAGATTCCTAATGCAAGAAATGTATATGGCCAATAAAGTGATCTTATCTTATCTATACTCTGTAGCTCACAGGCAGCTTGTTGACTAAGGCTGTAGAATCCTCATACCTGTACCCCACACGTACAAAGGGCTATTATCCCGAGCTAAAAAAACCCTGCCCCCTGCCCCCACCCCAACAACAGGAAGGGAAAAGGTGGGGACAGACCCCAGATTTCATTTAAATGTGTAAATGCACAATTGTAGACGTATATACAGCAGTTCATGTATTCTGTTTATACACTGACCAGAAGGAAGCAGTTCTCTGAAAACCACACAGCTCTCTTGCCTGGTATATATTTTTCAATACATGTACTACTAGTAGACACTGTCATTAAAATGATCACAACCAGGAGGAGCAGGTCAAGTTATTAAAAACCACACCACACCAAACAACACTGAAGATGTGTTGAGGACAGTGGTGTGGGTGGTGACACTGCGCATTCTACCTGTTTTCACCTGGTCTCAGATCTGAATCACCTGGATTTTCCCAGCCAGCGAAGATGATGTAAGTCTGCTGCTCATCAGTTCAACCATACACTGACAGCCTCCCAGAGTCTAGTCATTTGATGAGGTGTTCTAATATGTTGACAATGGTGTGTGGGTGTATATATATATAAACAGTGTTCAAGAATAAAGGTATATTGATCAAATCTATCTAAAAATAAACATTTAATCATTTTTCATCATTTTTACAGAAATTCAATTTTTTTTACTGGCTTATATGAAATTCAACAAAGAGCTTCCTTCATAGATGTGTAACAGAAAAAAGCAATAACAAACCAGAACTAAAACTTTATCTTAAAGTAACTGAACTATCAGACAAGTTGTATATGTTAAAAGACAAGTACATACTGTATCTGTTAACAGAGATTACAAGTTTTATCTTATCATCTCAAAAGATTTAACAACCTTGTAGGAACAATCTATTCTATATACAGCTTTCAGAGCTAAAAATGATTAGAACAATCAACAGTACGATGATGTCTCAATTCCATGAAACACATAAATGGCTTTGCTTTCTTTAAAACCCATTTTCTGTTTGCTCTTCACCTGCTGTCAAAATGTGCATGCAGGATTCATTATCATTGGCACTCAAATATACATTTTATTTACACCTAACGACAACTCTTCAATTGTGACTTTAGCTTACTGCATTAATGAAGTAAAATCAAGGATGTGTGAAAACATTTTGTCACTCAACTCTGATAAAACTGAGGTTCTGTTGTTTGGAGGTAACAGTACAGATAGGACTGCTATAACCTCAGGTACCCAACTGTGAGGGTTTCAAATTTTCCCTCCAAGATTCGGCACATAATCTAGCCGTCATCTTAGACGAAAGGCTCACATTTAACTCTCATGTCAATGCAGTATCGAAGGCATGCTTCCTACAGTTAAGAAATATTGCAAAACTAAGGCATGTTCTCTCCAATCAGGCCACAGAGAGACTAATACACGCTTCTGTATACAGCAGATTAGATTACTGTAATGCCCTACTATCAGGCAGCACCTATCGCACTTTCAACACCTTACAGCAAATTCAAAACGCAGCAGCTAGAATTGTTACCAGGAGTAGAAAATACAACCACATAACGCCTATACTTAGCTCTCTTCATTGGCTTCCTGTCAGGTACAGGGCAGACTTCAAAATTCTTCTACTTACTTATAAGGCTCTCAGAGATCAGGCACTTGTCTATCTAATTGAGCTGATTAATGTATACAATCCAAGCCACCCACTTAAATCACTGAACGCAGGTCTTCTTCTTATTTCACATAACAGCTGGTGGTAAAGCCTAAAGCTACAGGGCCCCTAGTTTATGGAACAGTCTGCCAGCCTACGTACAGGATGCCGAGTCAATCACTGCATTGCAACTACGGCTGCTGGGGCTGTACATGCCATTGTGTGTCTCAGTGTTGGCCTAACGGGTAGATCCAAGAGGGACATCGTGAATACAGCTATCGTTTAGGAGGATTTGCTGGTCAAAGAGATCTGCATGGAGTACTGGTACACAGAAGGACTATGACAGAAGGCTAAATACTCCACACTTAGTACTTTTCTTTAACTGTATGATGTTAGCATGCCCAGAGGGGTTGGGCAGCCAGTTGACCTTGGACCCCTAGAGGTTTTTTTTTCTCCTTCCTGACAAGTTTCCAGTTCCTCTCCTGCGTTATCTTCTGGATTGTTCTCTGTGTTGTAATGTCATGTAGTGTCACATAGCTTTGTTAAGTGCCTTGGGTCAACCTTGTTGTGAAAGGCTGTATATACAAATAAATCAAATCGAATCAAATTGAATTATGTGGCCCAGTGTTGAACACTCCACTTGCTGAGACTGATGGTGATGTGACTGCAAGGCACTACATCAGTCAGGACCTGGGACCACACCTGCTGCCCCTCCTGCACACTCATACTGTTATAAGCGGATGCACTGCTTGCCAGACCCGTGTCTTCCAGGGCAGAGCTTTCCAAACTGTGTGCCCTGACAAGGTTATGAAATCAGAAAAGATTGTGCTTGAAAAGTGAGGATCAGGAGCTCTGTGGAGCTCATGCCAGCTTTAAATAAAATAATAATTTAACTAAACTCAAATGTGTCTCATTACAATTGTAGTCTGAACTCAAAATAAATGTTATGTCTCGCTGTATTAAAACTTACCGTAAATAATCATTTGACGAACGGTGAATGGTTTGCAACAATAAATGTGCTGCAAGCTTAAAAAGTTATAAGGTATCATATTGTGAAAACACAGAAGTCACTTTCATCATGGAAGATAAAGAGGTAGAAACTGAGACACCTATTATTTTCCATTTGTTTGAGTAAGCAAGGCTATTAATATCTGATAACAGAAGCTTGCAAATAAGACCTTTAATCTCAAATAAAGTTTGAATGCCATTCCATTATATAAACTTTACAGGAACAGGCTGTTTGGCAGAAGACAGCAGGTTTTAAATTATGCAGGTTTTCCCTCACCGCTTTGTTTTGAGATCACATTTCGCTCCTGAATTGAAAACATGTTCAGATATTTTGTTGAATTACAAATTGAAAATAAAAAAAACAGATGCGCGCCTATTTAAATGGAATATTTTTCATCAAAACTAGAATACTCATACATGACGCTTTTAACACTTTCAAGAAGTTAAATATAACCTAGAACAGCAAAAGAGAATCAGAAACTATATGATTGCGTAAGCATTCACCCCCTAAGCTATGGCAAATATGTTCAACGCGCATCCCAGAGTCATAAAATGACAATGCAAACGCAGGGCAAAGGGTTTTGTGGTCAGGCGAGACACAATCAGAGCTTTCTGGTCTGAATCAAAAGCGTTTAGTTCTGGCACAAACCCAACACCGCACATCACCCAGTCCACAGCTTCCCTCCTGCCAAGCATTCTGGGGGCAACGCAGGGTTGGAAAGAGGCGAGTTCCCCAGGGGGGGGGGGGTCATTTAGGAGAACCACATTCTCCAGAATCCCACGGGAAAGGACCGAATTGGCGGCACCTGGAGGCTTTAGCTCCTAGGCCAGTCAGAGGCTGTCTTTTCACAGACCCTCGCGGTTTAGTGAGACAGGGAGTATTCAAAAAGACAACTCAGAGATAAAGGTTTTTGGTAAGCACTACAAGCCAGAGGGGATAATGGCGGGATAAAACTGGTAGCAGCCTCGGCCGTTTTCCGGGCCAGGACCCTGCGAAATAAGAAGAGGGTTAACGAGCGCAGCTGGCCAAGCGGAATCAACCGAGAGAGGTTATTGCCGCTGCTATCCAGGGAAGACATAATACGGTTCAAGTGGAGACCCCCTGCCACGCTCTCAGAAAGGGCAGTATGTCATCGTTCTGCTTCTCATCAGCAGAGACCAGAAAGCTTTCGGGTTTCGGGGGAAAACCGCAAAGAAAAACTGAACCTCAGAGGAAAACCTGATACTGAGAGTCTGGTGAAAAGCTGGCAGCAGCTCATTCACAACTCGCTGATGCTGCGTCTCCACCTAGAACTGACTCAGGGCGGGAACACTTACGAAATCTTCTTTGCCCCCTAAGAGAGGTCAGTGTGAGTATTCACAATTTGATTAGAAACATTCTCTTTAAAAAATGTACATTCAGCAAAATGAGACATCATTGGAAGCAGGTGCACACTTTTGCTTGAATGGATTCATATCCGCCATATCAAGGTATGTTATACAGGAAGGGATGTCTGAAACATGTCTGAAAGAACGCAGATCTCACATTATAGGGAAGACTCATGAAGAAACTAATTACAGTTATCACAGCTGGTCATTCGATCGGTACGGTATATGTTTTTTTTACCTTGTGAAGCTTTTTACCTTCTGCATGACAAGTGGCTTTATTTAATCAGGCGGCATTACTTCATGTCTTTAAAAAGAATTCGCCCTGTCCAAAAATAAAACTGCAACTACTGCACATCCTGTTCTCAGTCAGTCTTACTGGTGTTGCTGCTTTATAAGAACAGTAATAATCATTTAGCATCTCATAAAGCACAATAACCCTACAGTTAATTGTTCACAGGAATTGCACAAGAGACCTTTTTCCAAGGTTGCACTGTTCTGCTGACAGTAATCCTTCTTTCACTGCAGCTCTAGGGAAGCAACAGCAAATAATAAATCTGAAAAGGTCTTTTCCAGTAACTAATCAAAATACTGCTTATGTAATTGCGCCACCTTGTGGTTATGCAGGGAACACGAGTTGTTAAGGATTTTTATAACACCCAATTAACTTCTTTTTTAAAACTGTTTAAGTGAATTATTATCCTTTCTCATTAAATTTGATTATTTTAAAACTTTTGCAGCTATTCGTCACTTGGAAGCAAAAAACTTTAAAACACTGTCTGATAAGATGTTAAGCAACTTATTTAACTAGGAATCTTAGCAGTTATTACTTTAAAACCTAATGAAGGTGAACAAGAGGAAAAAATATAACAAGGCTTATTAGCCCTCTCCTGTCCTCACAGATGGGAAGTCTGTATTCAAAGCTCACCAGGATGAACAGCTAAAAGTATCATTCATACCTGTATCAGATCGAGAATCCCGAGTTCACTTTCCGAGGAGTCCACACAAAAGACGAAATACAGTGTGGCATAGTGTCTGTAGATCAACTTGTAATCAGAGCCACCTATCAAACTGCAAATCAAAACAAAAAACAAATTCACATTGCTGCCGTACATCATAGAAACGTCCAGTTTGATTTAGCCAAAAACAGAACAATTCAGACATTTTTCCATAATGGCTATCAACATTTAATCTAAACTTACATTGAAAATATTGTTTAGAAACTTTAAACCAAAACAGAGAACATGGCAAAGCTAACTCACACCAGATACACTTACAAAATACTGGTAAAATCTGATTAGGCGGGGTTTGCCATGGATGCTGAACACCAAAATTGCCTTCATCATCTTTCTTTTTTTAATTTATTTTGAATGATACAGCCAAAGCTAATCTAATCTCAATGTAGTGGCAACTACACTTGGTAGGCTGGTGGTGCATACAGGACTGACAATATAACTTCTTTCAAAACCCATTCACAGTAATATTCTGGAGAATAAATCAGTCTGAACATTAAGTATTATTTTTAATTAGTGTAAGCTATTATACAAAGTAACCTATATACAGTGCCTATAGAAAGTCTACACCCCCCTTGGACTTTTTCCACATTTTATTGTGTTACAGCATGGAACCATGACGTATTTAACTGAGAATTTTAGTCACTCGTTAACACAAAATACTCTATAATATCAGTTTAAAAAACACTTTACTAAGTTAGTTAAAAATGAAAAACAGAAAATTATTGAATGCATAAGTATTTACGCCCCCGCCAGAGTTAATACTTGGTAAGACCACCTTTGGCTGCAATTATAGCTGTGAGTCTCTTTGGGTAAGTCTCTATCAGCATTGCACATCCTGATACTGGAAATTTTGCCCATTCTTCTTGACAAAATTGCTCAAGCTCCATCAAGTTGGATGGGGACTGTTTGTGAACAGCAATTTGTAAGTCATCTCACAGATGCTCAATTGGACTGAGGGCTGGGCTTTGACTGGGCCACTCCAGGACATTAACCTTTTTGGTTTTAAGCCACTCCAGTGTGGCTTTTGCTGTATGTTTCGGGTCACTGTCCTGTTGGAAAATTAATCATCTTCCAAATCCCAGTGCTCTTGTAGATTGCAGCATGCTTTCCTCTAGGATTTTCCTGTACTTAGCTCCATCCATTTTTTCTTCTATCTTTATGGTCCTTTAGTCCTTGCCGCAGAGAGGTCTCCCCAAAGCATGATGCTGCCACCACTAGGGATGGTGCTCTCAGTGTGATGTGCTGTGTTAGGTTTGTGCCAAACAAACTTCAATTTGGGTCTCATCAGACCATAGAATCTTCCTCCGAATTGTTGAATCTTTCACATGTCTTTTGGCAAACTCCAGTCAAGATGTGATATGAGTTTTTTCCCCAACAGAGGCTTTCCTCTTGCCACCCTTCCATACAAGCCAGATTTATGAAGTGTGCGTCCTGCTGTTGTCTCCTGCACAGTTTCATGGAGGACTAACTCCTTCAGAGATGCCGTAGGCCTCTTGGTGGCCTCCCTTACTATGTCTCTTCTTGCCTGGACACCTATGCAGACGACGGCCAGTTCTGGGCAGATTTACAGTTGTTCCATATTTTCTCACCTTTTTAATGATGGACTTCACTGTGCTTCGAAGTATATTCAATGCCTTGGAAATTTTCTTATATCCTTGCCCCGACTGGTATTTTCCAAGAACCTTGTCTCGGATCTGCTTGGAATGTTCCTTGGTGTTCATGGGTAGTGTTTCCTTGGAAATGCACAAAGTGGGGAAGCTCCCAGACCTTAACTGCCCACAGGCAGACTCCAGTCAAGTAATTATGTGACTTGGAGAAGAGATCTGGTTACTTCAGAGGTAATTTAGGTGTGTCAAAGCAGGGAGGTGAATACTAATGCATTCAATTAATTTCTGTTTTTTATTTTAAATTTATTTAGTAAAATGTCCAGCTTTTTTTTTTTTACTTTGACATTATAAAGTACTTTCTCTTAATTCTCAGTTGAATAAATCCTGGTTCCATGCTGTAACACAATAAATGTGAAAAAGTCCAAGAGGGTGAAGACTTTCTATAGGCACTGTACAAGACAATTAATGAACTAGAAAAATAACAGTTTAAAAATAGTTCTCATTTTCTCTATGGAACTTACAAAAAAACTGACAATATTATAAAGGTCATAGCGCTGTTATCTAAAGCTGACTTGCACGTGAACAGATAGAAGGAGGTTGAGACACTACAAGTGAAACAACACAAGGTATAGAAATGACTGTATAAATTCTTCATCGTATAAAAAGCGCAGGTCTTGCAGCCAGAACCCAGCGCCCATGTTTACTTACGCACGCCCCAGACAACACACACCTTCCTCCTTCCAAGAAGTTGCACACGTTGTCGTCCCGCTTGGACACCAGGTGGAAGGTTTCCCTGATGATCTGCTGCTGCATGTCTTCAGGCTGCAGAAAGCACGTAAAGGCATTCCAAAGAATACAGAACAACGACAGCACCGAGCACTTTAAACGCTGCCATATAACGCACTCAAACAACAAAACTGTCTTCGGGTTGGTATTCTTGCTGTTTTAAGGTAAGATGCCACCTGGTTGCACTAAGCAAACGCCCAGGCCTCTCCTACCCTCCAGCATCTGGGATACAGGCACTACGGTTGGACTTCTGCCTCAGCTTTTAAAACCTCGACAGTGATTTAACTATCATTTTGGAAGGATATGAAGTTCGACCTTAAGATCAGAGAAATGAAGCCAAAACAGTTCATTTACCCGTTTTTAACAGACAGAAAGCTGTTGAGATAGAGGCTACATTTGACATTGCAGCAGGTCAGCTTGAATATCCTGTCTTAAAATTATAACGGAGCTAAATATTATACAAAGAAGCGATTTCACCAAAATCAGAAAAATATATCATTGGGGATGTGTTTTCCATCTTGGCTATCTGCATTTATTCTTAACTTAAACGGCAAACGGTTTTTAGAAACTTTAAACCAAAAACAGAGAAGACAACACAAAAAAAAACGATTTAAGACTGATCAGATCCACTTACAAAATACTGGTAAAATCTGATGAGGCGTGGTTTGCCGTGATTATTGAACACCAAAATTGCCTTAATCATCTTTTCTTGTTTCAACGACTTCTGATATATATATTGACGAGAAAAATAAACACATCCACCGCACAGCGGATATCCGTCCCCAACACAACGGTGTCATGTAAAGTGTGTCCGACTAGAAACACTACCGGCAAAGCACAAAACCAGCGATTGCTCGCAAGTTTAGATTTACGCTAAACCAATCCTTCTATTTTTAAATATGTTTCATAATCTGCTCTGTATATTAAACATATATTATTTTCTATATCTAGTATGACGTCGCTTAATAATAAGGAATGAAACTCCTATCGATGTTAGTCTTATAAAATATTAAGTAGTTTCATTTCTTGTTGAAAGGTTATTCCAAAACATTGTTACATCGTGGACTGTTCTGACGGTGGTTTGGGAAAAGGGAGCTTTTGAATTATTTGTAAAAAGTAGTTTAATCATAAAACTATCGTAAGTGAAGGTGGGTTGAGATCAGCGATTATGCCGGTATAATGAAAGGAAAGTTATCGGGGCCGCGATCGAATACGTCACAATAAATAACTTGTATTTTTTATAGTTATACCGAAGAAAACTATAGAAGAAAAAGAAAAATATGGAAACTCATAAAAGTGTTTGATTTTGTTTAGATTTGATAACGTAGATTACATATATCGTGACGTAGGACCTTGGTTGGTTTCAAAGTTTAAAAACCAATGGAAAACACTAATAAATTCATACTCTGCATTGCTTTTTTAATTTATGAATTTACAATCTTGTGCCCACTAATTACACTAGGTAGCCAAAAGGTAAGTGTTTCAATATCGATAACTTAATTACATTTAATATTTTAACATCCTCTATTTTTTCTTGTTTGCTTGCCGTTCGCTGACTGCTGTCAAGATTATCGACACAGGGCGGGTTATTTATTCTAAACTCAATTTTATAAAGAATAGTATTTTTCTGTAATTTCAACAGTATGAAAAGGGATTTAATATCTGTTTATTTCACATAGATCATTACATCAATAATGTCGTTTATATAGTGGCTTTTAATCCAAAAGATCCTAAAGCACTTTACATGTAGAAGGGAACCCACTTCATCCCCCACCTACACCTAGATCAAATGTGGCAGCAATCGTCCTCTTGCACAGCAGATCAGCTGGTGAGAAAATTTTCGACTGAATTAAGAGGGAACTCTAGGGAGATTGTCCAGATTGTATGAACCCAGAAAGGAATTTAGTCAGGACATCGATGTTGACACCCCTGCCGTGGCGGCTTTAATGATCCAGTAGCCAGGACCTGGTCCGGCTAAACACTTGATAAGAGGGAGGAGAACTGCTACAGCGCAGTGTCCCTGGTCACTGTGAGCAGTGCTTTGGGAATCCTGGTTTAAAGAAAAGTACACCAACTACTGGTCCACCACCAGTCTCTATACAGTGGTATCTCCAGCACTGACCAGGTCCAGCCTTGTTAAACAGCTGAGATCTGACAGGTTCCAGCTTGAAAGTGGAAAAGCTGAATGAAATAGACATTAATACAGACATCGATACCGAAGCCTTTTGTATTCTTTTTAACAAATATTAGCTGTGTTTTGATATATATTGTATTTTAACCAAATTAAAAACCATGCTTTTTAAATAGTCATTATTGTGTGTGAATGCACAGAACCAAATACTGGACCTACAATTTTGATTTTCTTCTTTTGTTTTCACTTAAGGATCTTCAGACCCATGACCAGTGATGAATTTTAAGAAGGATAATAAGTTGCTCTGCATCAGCCCATGTTTTTCTCGCGACACTCCCCTTTAAACACCGAGCCGCACAGCGTGATGAGAAAGAAATCCCTCAAGAACCATTTGAAATTCAGTTCCTGATTTTGATCAATCACTGTCATGCAATCCATTCATGGCTGAATAACCGATAGCACTCCTCTCAGTTATTATGCCCAGAGTCTCCTCGTTCAGAAGCAAAGTCACACAGCGCACCCTGGGACGAGCCTACAGCTGTTCACCATCCAGGTTCAAGACAGAAGAGAAGTGCCTTCAGTGAAGAGATTGCACAACACCTGAAACCTCTCTGAAGGGTTCAGCGAAGCCCTTTCTGCTCCTGAAGGGAGGTTCAGGTGCCTAAACTGGACCTGCTGACAGACGCAGCCACTTGCATGTCATGCCTCCCAGGAAAAGAGCTCTGCGCCCCGTCGGCCGAAGCCGAATGCCCAAGCCTGAGCCCAGCTTCTTCCCTTTCGACCTGCTGCCGCTGGAGTGCCAGGTGCACGTGCTGTCCTTCCTCGGCGAGGTGGACAAGTGCAGCGCGGCGCTGGTGTGCTTCAGCTGGAGCTGCGTCGTGCGCTCGGGGAAGCTGTGGAGGGTGGCGGACTTCTCCCGGCGGGGGGCTTTCCACGCGGGCCAGGAGGGGCTGCTGGTGTCCAGCCGCGAGTTTGAGCGGTGGAAGGCGTGGGTCCACCACTATGCCCACCACCTGATCTCCCGGGGGGCCAGCCTGCTCACCCTCAAGGCAAGTTTCGACCTGGGGGACCAGCACCACAAATGGGGCGACTTGCTGTCCAACCTTCTGGAGAGCATCCACTGCAGAGACCTGAGCCAGGTGGACCTCAACTGGACGTTCACCCTGCTGGAGCCCCTGGATCTCCGCCTGCAGCCCGCGTCCGGGTCCAGCTCGCATCTGGAGAGCGTCACAAAGGCGGACCAGGTCAATAACTTCCAGGTCCTGCTCGCGCAGCTCGCCCACAGCTGCCCCCGCATCACGAAGATGCGCCTGCAGTTTGACTGGTCCGACACCTCGGTCTCGCTGTTGACCCGGTTTCAGCACCTGCGCGTCCTGGAGCTCAAGTACTTCTGGGTTTTCAAAGGGGTCAGCCATAGCTCTCTGGAGACGCTGAGCAAGTCACTGCCCAACCTGAAGTCCCTGACGCTGCACGTGTTGGTGCCCCTCAGGAGCCTGGGTGTCTCCTACAAGCTGGAGTCCCTGTCCCTGGAGTTCCTGGACGTGACTCAGAGCCGGGGCCTGGTCTTCTCTTGCCTCAACCTGCCCGCGCTGCGGGAGTTTCGTGCCAAGAAGATCGTGCGGGGCATCACTCTGGACCGTCGGACCAGGCTGAGGATACAGAGCCGGTGGCCGTGTCTGTACCAGGTGCTGCGCGAGGGCGCGCCGAAGCTGCAGGCCCTCAACAACGAACGGCTGCTGCCCAGCTGGAAGGAACAGAGTTACCGGGAGCTGGCCTCCCTTCTCCAGCAGTGCTGCTACTGCCCGCAGCACCTGGACAGCTGGCTGTGGTGACCAGACCTCCCTGGGAAATCACTGGGGCCGCAAGGCCATTGCAGTCATTCGCTGACAGCTACTACCGGCCTGGCGAGCTCGCCTGGCTGCACTGTGACGATCTGACATTTCATTAATCAAGTCTCATTTAATTCCATCTTAAAGATGGAAAATCGTTTTTTTTTCCTCCTTTTTTTGCCATGTTTTACTTTGAAAAACAGAGTGTTGAAAATAGTATTTTTGATAATACTGAAAGATCGGTTTGCCCGGCATTATTCCTGTTTTTGCAAACACTGTATTTCATGTTAATAAAATTCTGCTGAAGTTTTACTGGAACACACAGTGTGTCATTCCAAGGCCTGTGAGCACACTACGCACTACACGCTACGCATTTAGCAGTATTCAGATTTACCATCCTACAGATCGCTTCTCCAGACAGTGTCCCATGTGAATAAATGAGAAAATCAAAACAGTCTCGTAATTATATTGTTACGTTAAACCACAGAGTGATTCATGTAACACAGTGATTGAAAACAATGTTTTCCGAAATTCCTTTCCTAAAAGTTTTCTCAGGAACCTGAGATCCCCCTTTGGGTGCCAGCATCCTATTGCCATATTGCAATTGTATTGTTAAAATTGTTTCGCACGTTTCCCTGCTTTGTCATTATAAAAAGTGGTTTTCTGGAATGAAAGGCTTTACTTTGTTTACTGGGGCAGTCTAAACGTAGTGCCTTAGTTAAGCGTACAATATCAGTACCTCACCTCAAACTGAGCTTCCAGTGAGGAGTCCTGGGCTTAACCTCCACCCTGCACTGCTACCTCAACAGTGCACTGGGCTGCTGCCAGATTGTTGAGAGCAGTCACATTTAGTCTATATGACCCAAATGCCATCCAACACAGTACTGTTCTTAACCTGAGTGTTCCTCTGCTTTTAATTTTTTTTTCCCTTAACATTATCCTTGTGCCTAAAAGGTTTGGTCTGGCGTCAAGCAATGTGCAGAGTAATCCAAAGTAAACGGACAAGGAAACCTATTGCTGGAGTTTTAGACAAGTTTGTGTTTTAGAAGTGTGGATGCTTCAGTTATTTGTAATATATACGCACTCGATTCGGAATTAACAAATGTTTCAAGACTTGGCTGTCTGGGCAGCGGGTCCTACCTGTACTGTGTCCACAGAGGGACAGCTAGGGCCTGCAGACAACCCCCAGCAGGACCACTCATCTTGATCCACTGTGAGCTCCACTGCACATGACAGGAGAGGCTATGGCATCACTGCAATCCTGAAAGCCACCTGTAGGTGTCACTGCTGTGCCCAGAGGAGCATGACTAATAACTCACATTACCAGACTTCTGCCACTCATTCTCTGGCATTTGGTCACAATCACCAGTGACATGACCCAGGCTCGGCTGAGCCACATCTGGGCATTAGAGTGAATCAGGGCTGCGAGAAGGAGCGGCTACTGCTTGAGCCACTTGAATGGGAGTCCCATCAAATTCAACAACCTAGAAAAATGTTGTTTTTCTGCAGTTCGCCTACCAGTCACACCTGGGAGTGGAGGATGCAGTCATCTATCTGCTACACAGAGCTAACTCTCACCTGGAGAAGACGGGGAGCATTGTGAGAGTTATGTTCTTTGACTTCTCCAGTGCCTTTAACACCATCCATCCACCTTTACAGAGAGATAAGCTAAGGGCGGCGCAGGTGGACACTCCCCTGCTGTCCTGGATTATAGACTATCTGACCTGCAGGCCACAGTATGTACGGCTACAGAGCTGTGTGTCCAACAGGTTGTTAGCAGTACTGGGGCTCCACAGGGGACTGTCCTTGCTCCATTCCTGTTCACCTTTTACACCTCTGACTTCAGGTCCAACTCTGAGACATGTCATCTGCAGAAGCTTTCGGATGACTCTGCAATTGTGGGGTGTATTAGAGAGGGGAGGGAGGAGGAATATAGGAGCTTGATTACCAATTTTGTGGAGTGGTGTCATCTTAACCACCTCCAGCTTAACACCAGCAAGACCAAAGAAATGATCTTCAACTTTCGAAGGAATAAGTCTCCGCTGAACCCTGTTTCCATCCATGGTGAGGACATAGAGGGCGTACATTCCTACAAGTACTTAGGGGTACACCTGGATGATAAGTTGGAGTGGCCTGGTAACACTGAGGCCCTGTACAAGAAAGGTCAGAGCCAACTCTATTTTCTTAGGAGACTCAGGTCCTTTGGTATGTGCGGAACACTGCTACACATTTGTTATGAATCAGTGGTGGCGGCGGCCATCTTCTATGCTGTTGTGTCCTGGGGCAGCAGCATCATGACAAAAGATGCAAATAGGCTCAATAAACTCATCAAGAAGGCTGGCACTGTGTTGGGGATGAGCCTTGACCCCATGGAGGTGGTGGCGGAGAGGAGAATGCTGACCAAGCTCACAGCCATCATGAACAACACCTCTCATCCGCTTCATGGGACTGTTACTGGGCAGCGGAGCACATTTAGCAACAGACTGCTCCAGCTACGGTGTTCAAGGGAACGTTTCCGCAGGTCTTTCCTCCCGGCGGCTGTCAGGGTGTATAACACTGCCCTAGGCTAGGACTGTTAGCCCTTCATCTGCTCCTCTATGGACAGCATGTTTACTCCATTATACTTTTTGGACAATCAGTCTATATAAACCTATGCACATTTTGCACATATTTTATTGTTTTTACGGTGACTATGATCAGCACATTTTGCACACACCTATGTATTTATTTATTTGTATTTATTTTGTTGTCTTTTGTTTCATAACTATTCTGATGTCTGTTTTGCTTGTCTTGGGCTGGACTGCTGTAACACATCAATTTCCCTACGGGATTAATAAAGTATTATCTATCTATCTAAATGGAGGGGAGTCTTGTTTTCAGATGCTAAAGATCTGATACAGAGAAACTGACCAGTGATGCCACTGACGTTTTATGGAAGTATATGGAAAAACACCTGGACTGTGTAGAACATGAGTGGGAAAACTCCTCCAAAAAAAGAAGTGTGTACCAGCTTGCAAGGAATCTCACTTGAATTCTGTGAAGTGCAAAAACAATGTGAGTAGGCCCTGTAGCAGCTGTCCTTTCCAAGTCCAAGGTCTTCAGATCTCATTGAATTCAGGTTAAGCAATGTCATGATTGCACTCTTTTTCTACCAAAAGATTTACATCAGCTGGGCAATAAAATGGTTGAAAAACAAAATCGTGGTACTCCACAGACATAGTGCAATACCAGATTCAAGTGAAGAGCTTGTTTCTCCACGTTGTCCCTAACGCAATTTTTTCTCACACCCATCGCAACGTCGCAAAGGGGGCGGGTGCAGACATTGCAGAGAGCCCCCCTGTGGAACATCTCCATGTTCTCTTCACTGCCAGCCTGACCGCATATGCTCCGTGTGTGCGGTGTAGTACCACATGTCACCACCAGAGGTCTCCCGTCTCATCCTTTTTTAGAAGAAGAGAGGCAGATGCGAGTAAGGTATAAACTCTTACAGCACTTACAGTATCAAGGCGTCTGTTTCTGCAGATTTATTATATCCTTTTTGCATAGCTTACCCTTTAACCTATCACAGCTGAATAGCTCGTTTAACGTTCCGCGTTTGTGACTCATCAGGAGACGAGAAGCCAAAGACTCCCGTATTTATCAAGGTATTTACCGGCACTCCCATAAACCTGTAAAGAGAGGCATTGCTTTATCGACAAAGCTAAGCGCTAGCTTCACCAGAACACACACATACCTTCATGATTCGGTAATAATCAATTAAAAAGGCATCTAAGAGGCACCAGCACTGAAACATCACAGAGTCCTGTTTTAAAATGAATGGTTTATTTCCAAATGTAGCTGGTAGGGTATTGTAGAAATCTGACTCTGGGCTGGGGTCATTAGTCCAATTCCTGACCTGACTTAAGTGCATTTTAAACCCACACCTTCTGTATGTGACAGGTCAGAAATAACTGGTGTAGGTGACACATCAGGAGTAACTGGATGGCATTATCAGGAATATCCACTGTGCCATGGTGCCAAGTGGAAATATTTTCTAGGAGTACAATGCGGTTTGTAATTGTAACTCATAAACCCCCAATCACGGTAAAAAGACAGGGTGGCCATCGCCATACACGGACTTTAAGACTCTCTGTAACAGCTGGAATTCAGGACATTGGTGGCAGATACACCCTATGCTCTCACTGTGCTGTGATACCTTGCATCGCTGCAGGGTTAAAAATATATATAAGCATTTTTTCCCAGTTTCAGCTAGGGTGGCACATAGCTAAAATGCAAAGAGACTTCCACGCGACTTCATAGGTCTTTCAAGAACAGTTCAAAGTATTATTAGAAGAAATAATTGCTAGAAACCGGAAGACTTCTCAGATTGATCTGCATAATTTCTGAGTGGCATGTTTTGAAGAAACCATAAAATTTTGTTCTAATCTCGCAAAAATAGACTCAGCACATATAGCTCACGAAAGGGCATTTTGAATGTATTTTTTTTTCCAGAAACTCATATTTTACTGAATAATATATCCATTATTAAACATAGTTGCACAGATGTCGATGTTTCATAGAGGTAGAGACTTAAGTGCATAGTCCAAAGAAGGAAAACATGCAGTCAAGCCCTTAAAATGAACACTTGAAAAGAAAAAACATGAACACGAGATCATTTTCAGACTGAGTAAAAAATAGCAAGCAGATGAGCTAAGAAAGAGGTTCACACGATCTGCTTATGCAAACACCCAACAACAGAAAACCTTCAGCCTGAATCACATCACATACAGTATTAAATGATCAGTTGCACATGACATCTGTAGAACTACATCAAAAATCAATTAAATATTCACCAATTACCACACACCAGCATGATTTGAAGGTTCACAACAAGCTGCTTGAACCATAAAAATTAACTTAGAAAAGGGATAATCCTATAGCCAGCAACCATATCACCCTGCAACTCACAACTGGCACCCCACTGAAACTAAGCAAGCAAACTAAGTGTGAGCCTGGTCAGTACTTGGATGGGAGACCTCCTGGGAAAAACTAAGGTTGCTGCTGGAAGAGGTGTTAGTGGGGCCAACAGGGGGCGCTCACCCTGCGGTCCATGTGGGTCCTAATGCCCCAGTATAGTGACGGGGACACTATACCGTAAACAAAAGGGCACTGTCCTTTGGATGAGATGTAAGTTTCGGGTCCTGGCCAAATTTCCCATTGGCCTTTACCAATCATGGCCTCCTAATAATCCCCATCTATGAATTGGCTTCATCACTCTGTTCTCCTCCCCACTGAGAGCTGATGTGTGGTGAGCGTTCTGGCGCACTATGGCTGCTGTCGCATCATCCAGGTGGGGCTGCACATTGGTGGGGGTGGAGGGGATCCCCATTACCTGTAAAGCGCTTTGAGTGGAGTGTCCAGAAAAGCGCTATATAAGTCTAAGCAATTATTATTAATTTGAAAGGTTTAATTTTAAGGAACATTAATTCGGCAATTAGAAATCAAGCACTAATCATTTTGCATTTCCCGTATTCTCTTCAAATTCCTTGATTTTTACAAAAATAAATATTGTGGCAGGATGGGAGGAGGAGGGCTTCTGGCCAGCGCGGCTTGACCTTCCGGCTTCTGGTGCGGTTGCGCATTGTTGTGGGCTGTTGGGTTGTCATGTAAATAGTTACAAGTCATAGGTTTATTCCAGGCTGAAAAAAAGAAGAAAGAAAACACAACGTTTCGGCCATGGGGCCTTCTTCAGGTGTGTGTATGTAAATAGTTATACCCAGTTTACTACCTTTTATACCTGTATCCACTTAACCACCCTATACTGGACAGTGTGTACCTGTACCCCAAGTGGCCCTAGTGTGTTAAACCCACGGCGCGCTGTCTTTGTCTGCTGTTGTCTTTGCTGCTGTGCCGGCAGTAAAGAGCCGACTCCAGCCTGAACTGCTGTCTGCATCCTCGCCGACCCTGTGTCGCTTCAGTATATTTGTTCAAGAAATCAAAGTAGGCAGCTGCGTCAACGTGTGAAGGCTGCGAAGCAGCAGGTAATGGTTTATTCCATGCTGAAAGGAAAAAAAACAGATACAACGTTTCGGTAGCGTTTCTCCCCATGTTACAGAGTGGTAAAACTAGATAAGATCGATACATAAGCCCTTGACACAACTCTTCCAGCAGCTGCTCGAGAGATGGGGGGGTTGTACCCAGGGTAGATGATATCTACTGTCGTGCCCATCAATAAGAAGGTTGAGAAAACTGAACTTGGTAATTATAGACCAAAAACTCTGACTTCTATTATATATGAGATTATGGAAACAGTTATTAGACTCAGACTAGGAGATCACCTATTTGTATGTAGGATCCTAGGAAACAGTCAGCGTGTGTTTAGAAAAGGTAGGGATTGCTTAACAGGCTGATTAGAGTTCTTTGAACAAGTGTAATTAGTGGAGTGTCATAGGGACCAGTACTCTTCCTAATTAAATCCGTTAAGGAAATTCTAGTCAAGTTATTAAATCAATCAAATTTACAGAAAATACCAAAACAGGAGGATCGACAACACTATATTGGAACAGAAAATAAAATTAAAAAATATATAGATAAACATCACACTTTGGAAACACCTGGCAGATGTCCGTTAATGTAGTGAAGTGGAGGGTTTCGCTTGCCTAAGCAAGAACGAAAACTAAATACAATCTGGGAAACGCTGAAATAGAAGAAGCTCCTCATGAAAAAGCCTCGGGCGTTAATGTTAACATTTTGTTCACATCTTCCTCATATTGTCTAGAAAGAAGTAATCAAATAAAGCCATACAACATGTTAAGATAGATAAAGGTGTAGGATTTAAATCAGGTGATGTTATGTTGAAATTGTATCATACACTAGTAAGACCTTGTGGAGAATATTGTGTATATTTGTGGTCACCATGTGTAGGAAACAATGTCGCTCTGGAATCAGTCCAGACAAGCACAACAGATACATTCTGGGGGATTAAGGGGCTGAACTACACGGACAGGCTGAAAGAACTGAACGTTTCCAGAACTGAATACAGAAGAAGAAGAGACCTAATACAAGTATTCAAAATCCAAAAGACCTTGCAAAGCGGACACAGCAGGCACCTTCAAAAAAGAATCATGAACCGTGAGACACAAGTGGAAAACATAAGGTACAAGTTTATTAGAAATTAAGAACGGGAGACTCCTTTTTACTCAGAGTCATGAGAACACAACTGTTCTTATGTTCTTATTTCTATGAACTGGGTATTTTACTGGAGGAATCTGAGTCAAGTACTTTGCTTAAGTAGATGTTTTTATAAACAAAGTAATTTTGGTTGGTTTATAGTTCATTAAGAATTAAGTAATCTAAATAATTTTGCCACTTAATATGTTGGAAAAAAAACAAACCTAAAAAATTGGTAAGATAAAAAATGTAAACTTTAATATGAACTTCTTAGGGACTCAAAAGAAAAAGTGGTATTTCAGGACTTCTGATCGTGCTACATTACCTCTGCTATTTTGGACATCAAGCCTGGAGACTTCCCAGCCCCCAGTACAATATAAGCCGTCTCCAGAGAGCTGTATCATGGAATGCCATTTTCTGACGTTTTTGTTTTAACAAACCTCACTTTTTGTCCGCTGCGATACGGCCCGACTAAAGCAAATATCATACGTACATTTAGTCAGTGGTTTGTAATCTGAACCCTGCTTTTAACTGTGTTACTTTGGGTTGAGCATTGCACCATTCTTATTTCGCAAATTCAGATTTGAAAAAGGACTAAACTGTTAACTTTTAACATTTAATGTTACAGTCAGTGTGGTGGAAAATAGTGGATTCAAACACCCATTAAAAAACATAATTACAAATCTTGTATTTGCACAATCTTATTTAAGTTACCTTTTCAGGTGATATTTAAGATTAATGGAAATGAACCTGCAAAAACAAGCATGTTGACCATTGAAAGCCTTGATTTGTCATGTTCAAAATGGTAAATGCGGGTCGTCGGTCTTTGATTTGGTCTTGATGCTAACGGGCTAAATCTACATTTGTCGTTCTTTGCTGCAAATTTCCAGTGTTCCACAAAAGGGTATAGAATCATACAGGGCCTCTGAAGTTTAGATGATGGCTGATGTTAATTTCCTTAGTACACGATTTGGTTTAGAATCACTGTCTCTGCCACTGGACAGCTTTGCGTGACATTTTTCTATGTCACTGTGTGTCTGTAATTAAATAATAGATCATCATGATTAAATCATAAAGGAACACTGGCTTCCCAAAAGAAAGAGCTTATGGTTTCTCACAAGTCCTATTATTTGTTTTAACTGGCATATTTTGTTGTATAAACTATTTAAGAAAGAAAAAGACACATTCAAAACATGTAACGGAGCAAATGACAAAATTGCTTGTCTTAACAAGATGCAGACTTGCTTTTAAAAGACTGTTATATTACTGCTTTGGGCTTTTAACACTGAACAGGACTTAAGCTGGGATGTATTAAACATTTATTGTCATTTTTCAGGAAAACGAATCTGTCTTTTAAAATTATGAAAAATAATACTGAATTGACATTTACCCCTTTGAAAAACAGATTCTTTCATATGAATTTTTTTAATTCATATTATTTTAATTTTATAACCACAAGATTAAATAGGTCAATATATTCCAAAGGCATTTCTAGAAACTGCATACATTTTTTTAATTGTTATTTAATTTAAAATCACATTCAATTTTAGCTTACAAAACCAAAATAGATACTACTTAAGATGGAAAAAGGAACTTAATGCACTGAGAAAATTTATTTGAAACATAATGTTTCAAATATATAGTGGAAGATTCCAGATCCTGTCACGGGACATACTGTAGGAGCCACCAAATTCTTGAAATTATAGATGCACAAAAAAAGACACGTTTAATGCAAAACTTTTTTCCCCAAAAGTTAATGCATGTGAAAAGGAAATACTTCCTCCACTTTATTTTTTAGTGCAAAGTACTAATGCTTTTTAAACTTTGCACTTCAGATATTAAGCAGTAAATTGCTACTGGAAACGGCAATAAACATAAATGGCAAAGCAATTCATCAGGCACAGCTCTTGCAGTAAAAACCAAAAGGGATGAAAAACCATGACACACGTGATATTATCAAGGGTCTCACAGCATAAGGTATTTCTTTCAGAGTTAATGGAATTTTAATAAATCGTGGTCCTGTATAAAACAGTTAGGAGTATAACATTTCCATTGTGAAGAACAATTTGGATTACAATGATAAACTTTCAAGCGCTGAAAGGGATTTATCACAGACTGGATCTAAAAGCTAAATGTTGAACATATTAACTAAACATGAATAAAATGATCAGTTATTTTTGTAAACTTCAAGCAATTTTAGTTGGGTAGGAGCAGTGGACAAATTGGTGAATTTGCCATGTGTTACACAATTTTCATTATTATTAAAGAATGTTTTGTCATTTTTTTGCCACGGTATTTTCCTACTACTCTCCACTTCGCAGCACTGTGAAAAAACAGGTTGCTTTTTTTCTAGTTGAAAAGAAAGACATTTTTTCAAACAGCTGTTATCTGTTTAGTTTTCTTTCCCAGCAAAAAAAAAAATAACAGCAACTATGAAACTCTCTCTTCTGACTTTGTGGTCGTTAATGAAAACACATGCCCCTCATTTTCAAATACAGAGAAATAGACAGGGACCTTTCATCGTTCATAACTGGCCTGTTGTTCACATAAAGTCGTGTTTCCTGTGAAGATGTTCGGAGGAAAGTCTGAAGTGGCCAATTCTAGCTTTCCTGGAAAAAAGAGATCTCTAGAACTGGAAGGAACACAAGAAGCAATTTTCCCTCTTCCCTCCTCCTTTGAGAGGGGTGGTAATTAAAAGATGAAAATGCGTTTGAGCTCCTTTTGAAAGATGGCAGAAGGGATGGGGTGAGGGTCTTTACTTTTTTCACCTCACCCAGGATTGGTGGAAGAAAAGCAAACTGCTTCCAGATGTGGGAAAACCCAAGAGCCGCTCTCACTTCAGCTAGTCCTGGTTTCCTCCTTAACCCAGCGGCCTCCTACAGTTAATGCCTAATCTATTAACAATAGCACACATACATATGTGTTTATGGGAGGTCAGCGCCCGGGACTCCAAGGTACAAAGCCAGCTGCACAGCCAAGCCTTGCTCCAGTTCAGGGCTCATCTTCAGAGGAAGCAGGGACGCAGACATGTCCAAAGGATTCTACATCTCCAAGGCCTTTGCTGTCGCTGGTCTGGTGGTGACGGCCTCAGCGGCCGCCTCCATTGTTGTCATGGTGATAGTGTTCCAGCAGCAAATCCTCAGAAGGCCGCCCACACCTCCCAGCTTTCCGGCCACCACCAGGGCCCCCACAGTGGACACGAGGGACATGATGCGACTGCCCAGCAGTCTGAGGCCCGAGAGCTACAGGGTGGTCCTGCAGGTCCACCTGTTTCCGGATCCCAACAGCACGTTTCACTTCACGGGGAACTCCACCGTGCAGTTCAGGTGCCTCCAGCCTACCAGGCAGATTGTCCTCCACAGCCACAAGCTGAACCTGACCCAGCTGGCCAGCCAATACGCGCTGCTGACTGGCCACACGGCCAACACGCCCAGGGTGGTGCAGAGCATCCTGAGACCTGAAACCCAGTTCCTGGAGATTTTGCTGGACAGGGAACTGGAAGAAGGGAAGACCTACGAACTCTACACTCAGTTTGCAGGAGATCTGGCGGATGATTTAACAGGCTTCTATCGGAGTGAATACACGGAGAATGGAGAACAGAGGTAAGTTCTTCTGTTGTGGCAAGCGGGTAGAAGTTGTTTTCCATTTGCTTCTAAAGATTAATTTTGCCTTGCCAGTTAATTGCCTTACTTCCCCATCTTGAAGGTGGTGGTGGTGGAGAAAGAAAACAGTCTCTAAATGGTTTTCAGAATAGAGACTGCATGAATTGCAATTTGTGTGCTCCATATGATCTTCTAATTGAACATTTTATTTCATACTGGTTTCATTTTTGCACCTCTGTAGAGCTGCCACAAGGAACTGTATTTCTGATATAATACAATAATAACATAAAATGTATACTTCATAATCTTTTATCTTAGGTGTATATAAGGTCTTTCATATAAGTTTCCAATATAATTTACTGTTTTATGTTACTTCTCAAAAATGTCAAAAATTGTGTGTCAAAAATACACAAATAAGCTTTTGATTTTTACTATGAAACCACTTTTCAAGCAAGAGTTTCCAATGTAGTTGCAGTCTAAATGTAGTTTACACATGAAACTATGCAATAAACCTGACGGTAAGTGTCACAATACTGCTAGGTATTGTGTGACTGGGCTTAATGCCGGCACGTTTGTTCCAGCTGACAGATTTGCTGCTTTGAAAATCCTACAATCTATTGTAAAGAATTTCAACTGTTTCAAGGAAAGGTAAACACACACAGCTGTAAAAAATTAAAACGTTTTTCCATTTTATACAGGACCCTTTATTGTAATTTTTTTTTAAATTTGTATTAGCATTCCTGTATGATGATGATAATGATGATGATGTGTAATTAAAATCTAGTTGAAAGGGGTAATTCGCACAGTGGATGCCTTTCTTGCTGAAATTTATCCTCACTCATATTTTTTCCAGTTCTGGGTTTGTGTCAAGTGTTATGGGTATCGTTTTCTTTAAAATATTAAATTGTTCATATTAATGATGTTTGGAATTATGATGTTACTTTTTAACGGCAAGGCACACTTTTTGGCACTCAAGGTTTTATTTTATTTAACGTGATTCATAAGCCAGGCCGTTAGAATTTAGGATAAGAGAAATTTGTCTTTATTCTCAGGAATTGCAGCCTCAGCTGTAATTAAACCCCCTTTCTTCAAGAAAGAAGGAAGTAGGTTCTTTTTTAAAAAAAAGCAGCTGTATACCTGTTTAGTCTGGTGAACATTTTTTTGTATAATCTATCTGTTCATTTTCATTTTCAAAATAGTATTTTTTGACAATTGCAGTGCTATTTTTCCATTAAACAAACCCACGCAAACGGTTAATTTTAATCTAATTAAGTGAGCTATCAAAGACTAAAGGAAAATTAAATTGCAAACCAAACGACCAGAGCTGAGCAAATGACACCAGTTCCATTAATTTTAATCTCCTATGATGATCTACGCAGTTGTTATTTTTCGTTCTTGTACACTGTCATGAAATGAATTAATGGACAAAGTAATAAACTCATCCAAACGTATTCTCTTTTCTCTAGGTATATTGCTGCAACCCAGATGCAGCCCACTGACGCCAGGAGAGTCTTTCCCTGCTTTGATGAACCCGCAATGAAAGCCGTGTTCAATATCACCCTCATTCACCCGAAAGAGACTAAGGCGCTCTCAAACACTGCCAGCCGTAAGATAATGAAACAGAATGCCTTATTCCATTCTGCTGTGCCAAAAAAGAAATATGGATTTGGGATTAAACCAATACTTATCAAACAAAAATACACCCTAATTTAATTTGCATCATGAATTAAAAATCCTTATTTTTCTCTTTTTTTTCCCGAATTTTACAGAGACAACGCAAAACAATGACTATTTCATCACAGAATTTATACCAACACCTAGAATGTCGACTTACCTCCTAGCATTTGTGGTCTGTGATTTTGATTATTTTGAGATTGGACCTAATATGAAGGTAATGTGTCTTTATTACCTACCTTTCTTCATTGTCTTGTTATAATGAGTGAAGCTTGCTTAATTGACTATAAACCCAGCCCTGGTAAAGGTCTCCTGGAGTTTGTTCTACAGAAGACCCCCGGTTGCTTAATTGAACTTCAATGCCTAATTTTAACATACTTACTAAATCTTAACCAGTTGATGTAGAGGCGAATGCTGCCCCTTAATGATTTCAGTTCTGCACCACAGTAACATTAGAGTATTTACATACACTCAGCACTGTGGGAAATAACATATACAGCATATAATAGTACAATACACAAGAATGGTATTCTTGTAATTACTACATCAATGTTTTACTTATTTTTTGTAATGTATGCTCAAAGTGAGTCTCAGCATGTAACTATGTACCCCGGTGTAGGTGTACAATCGTTAAGGTACAAAAGCAGAAAAACACTTAATGAAAAAGTGAAGTAGACGAGAGCTGTAGTATGATTTCTGAGATCTAATGGGAGATTATTTGTCATCTAGTGCACAGAGCCCTTAAAAGCATTCCACAGCACTTTACAAACATAAAATGAGTTAAAGAATATGAATCATGCGATATGTGAATGTTAATCAGCTTTGATTGTCTCACAATAATAGAAAGCAGAGCCAGTATAATTCTGCCATAGTAAACAGGCCACAGACGTATGTCTTTCCCTTATTAGAAAACAGAATATATATAGAGAGAGAGCTTTTGTTTTCAGCTTGCTGTAAACAGGAACTAAGGAAGCATTAAAAAGTCATCTAAAGAGCTAATCTGCTGCTCAGTTTGGGGGTTTCTGTAGTTCATGGACATTGGACAGCTCTGGTGCACTCTACTGCTGAATGAACGGTTTGATACTCAAGTTTACTCTCCTGGCACGTTTCCCATTTCCTAAACACGCTCACAATTTTGTAGTGCGTGTAAGGAGCTCATGGTGTAGTGCTGTCTGTGCTTTTTATCAGATAAAAAATCTATAGGTTGTAAGTTTCTGTTGGTTTTATTTAATTTTCAACAGAAATCACTCTGAAGCAAACAGACGCAGTGTAGCATTCCTAACCTCCAGCACTGCGGTGTCTTCTGCTTCTCTCGCCACAGTTTGTCCCCACAGAGTCTGGTTTCAAGCAGCTCCTTAAACACTGGGAACAAAGGAGCGAAACAGATTGCTGCTGTTCTGAAATAAATCAATAAGTCTTTCTTCAGATGAATGTGATTTGATCTCGTGAAGCGCAAGAGTTCAACCACCATACTTACCCAGTGTTTAGGTTTTTAGGCAAATACAAACAGAAGTATTAGTATTCACTAAGACACAAATGCTATCAACACAGAACTCTTTTCCTCCTCAGGAAAATAGAAGAGAAAGTCAGACCGTCTGCTCAGATGTAGGAATGTTGTATGTTATATACAGTAAATGTATGTATGCATATATACACATACACACATTAAATCCCTTAGTAATGGGGCAATAGAAAACAAAAATAAGAAAACTCTGCGTCTGTTTTGCAGCATGTAAAGTACTATTGGCTGGGTCCCTTCTTGACAAGATGGGATTTCCATACAAAATTCTTGCCTTTGAATAAAGTGAACCATACTTCACTTGGACACTTTTACCAGCAGAGCTGTGGTAACACAATACACTCTGCTTACAGATCACACTTAAGGTCTGCGTTAAAATAAGCAGATGAGAAGAAATAGTAGCTACACCAGGAACAAGAAAGGGATCCCAATACAGCTGGACACGTTTCCCCAGACACCACCTGCTCGTTGACTGTCGAATGTAATGGACACAGCCACGCGCTGAGGCTCCACGTTGTACTTTGGTTTCGGTTGTTCTCAGTAACTGCTCTCTTCTCCTCGTAGGCCAGACTTCCCTGAGCTTGACTTCTTAATTAACATCCCTAAATACGCTTTCCTATTGGATGTTGTTATTCTTTGTAAAACTGTCTAAACCGGGTCCTACTGATTAGATAGAAAACCTTGCAGAAAAACAATGTGTTTAATAAACTGACAGTTCATCTGACAGATAGTTATAAATTGATAATATACTTAATAAGAGCAGATACAGAGCTCTGATGGATTTACACATCACAATGCAGAGTAATATGACCTTCCAGGAGATCATAATGCATACCTTCCCATAGACGTTTTTGGTCATTTGGATTATTTTGCTTTAACATTCAAAATTTTAAGCATTTTAATGCTTTATTTTCTAAGTCCAAAATCAGTATATTAGGCCTTGAGTGCAGATTGTGCTTGTGGCATGCAAAACAAACAACAGGCCCATTTTTGTCTGCAGTTTAGTGATGTTAAGTGAGGCTGAGTCTTGTGGGTTTAGAGAAACAATTCATTTTCTTGAGAATATTCTTCTCCTTAAGCCCTCTGTATAAAATAGAACTGCTGTGAGATTTCGGGGCTCAGTTATATTACTTCAAGATGCTTCAGATACATAGATACAATGAACTGAGTTTCTGTCCATTGTGTTAAAGATCTGGGCTCGACCTGATGCGATAAATGCAGGCCATGCTGCCTATGCTGGGAACATCACTTTGAAAATCGTGGAGTTCTTTGAAGATTACTATGGCGTACCTATCCCTCTGTCCAAATTAGGTACGTTTTTGTAAAAGAAACTGAGTATATGGGCTCATTTTGAGAGTATTAAACTCTACAATGAAAATGTGAGAAGAGTATACTAATGATGCTGATCTATCGCAAAATAACTGACTGACATGTTGAAAACCCACTCTGCAGGCAAGGAAACTTTTTGCCTTAATACAGTAAAATAAGTCCACAAATCTCTAAACAATATTATTTTTAGAAGACGCAGGTCAACAGGTTTTTGAAGGGTACCAGAGATTCTTTACTTCAAAAATGATAATTTGTAAATTCCACACATTTGAAAGCTCACAATTATTTTTACAAGTTTGATGACGATGTGCTGTACCAGATGCACGCAGGTACACAGAAGGAATTATACCAACTGGTCAAGGGTGAGCTTTAACACCTTGGCTTAATAACGTGTCATAATACATCAAAACATCTTGAGCAGTCATTTACTCGTGTACTCTAAATTCAAATAGCCAGTCTGACTTTGTATCACTAGCTGTGAAGGAGTTTATTTACAGCCTAGTTACATTCACTAATTGCAGTAAATTTACTAAATGGAACAAATAATTAACTGGGTGATAGTGTCTTGTTTTCATGTTTCTTTTCCCTCATTTCTGTGTCCTGAAATGCCTGCAGATCAGATTGCTCTGCCAGACTTCGGAGCAGGAGCCATGGAGAACTGGGGTCTGATCACATACCGCGAGACAGCTCTGTTGTATGACCCAGAGGTCTCCTCTACAGGAAACAAGGAGTGGATTGCCACAGTAATATCGCACGAACTGGCCCACCAGGTACATCAGCACATGTCCTCTGCTTCGTGTTTCACCTGTGGTTCTGAAGAAGTCTATTGAGCCGAAGTAGTCAATGCCCTTGAGGGATCTTCATACTGGAGTCAAGACTTTCCTTTCAGTCCAGGAATGTACCTGATTTCTGCTCACTGATTCCAGAGCAATAATGTCTAACACAGTGACCAGAATTGTACACAATGTTCCAGCTGAGGTCTTACTAGTGCAATGTACAATTTCAAATCACATCCCACAATTTAAATCCTACATTTTAACTGTGTTCTAACATTCTTTTTGCCTTTTTTGCCTCTTTTTTAACTACCTTCTATCCAGCAGTATTTTTCAGCATGGGTTTACTTGACTCTCTTGAGTTTGCCTGGTTTTTTCTGTAGTTTATGACTTTTTTGTTACTATCAGTAAATCTTAATACAGTCTGTTTCTAAATGAATAATGTTTTTGGAAGTGATAGCTTCAACAATGTGGCTGAGCAGTTCCAGACTCCCACAACTCTTTGTGCGTGCTGCTTAGTTCCTGTGTCCCTCCTCCGGCCCATGTCTCACTGTCGATCCTAAAGATGAGCCCTGGGCTGACCTCGGCTCTGTTACTATTCTAACGCTGCTGTTATTTTCCTTTTGCAGTGGTTTGGAAACCTTGTTACAATGAAGTGGTGGAATGATCTCTGGCTGAATGAAGGTTTTGCCACATACGTCTCATACCTTGGAGCGAATCACATCGAACCCACCTGGAATATTGTATGTGATTCCTTCTCTCTTACACTGACAATGCAAGCAGTGTTGGTACAGATGTGTATGCAGAATCTCTTACATTTCTTTCCATCTGAGGAATTTGTTCAGAGAGCCAATTTTATTTTTCTGTGCTCAATTATTTCTTACCACTAGATAGTCTACTGAGTAGCACAGTCGTAAGTTGGTCAGTACAGCAGCCTCTTGTGTCTGGGGTCAGTTCTGGCACAGGGAGTCTTCTGTGGAGAGAATGCCTGTTCTATTCTCTTCTCCACAAGGCGCTCAGGATTCCTCCTTGCAAAAAAATGCTGGCTGTGTTCACTGGTATCTCCTGAAGGTCTCCATTTGCTTGTGTGTGTGAGCAGACAATGATGGACTGTACTCCTGTACTCCCTGTGCCTCTAGTATAGACTCCAGGTTGCCCTGAACAGGAATGAACAGATTTCTGCTAATGAACACACGGATATCATCTTATTGCTGCCTATCTCAGAACTAGTCCCTGATTCTCATTTTCCTTGCTCCTTCATTTTATTTTGTTCATGTTGGTCCCATGGTGCCTCTGTTCAGAATGAGGTAGGGCTGTGTGAGGGAGTGTCTTGGTGCAGAGATTCTTCAGGTGTGTCCGCACTAATGCCTCTGTAGCATAAGAGAAAATAGTACTCCTCCCTCATTCCCTAATGGAAGAGCTACTCAGCTTATTTTTGTTTCTTCATATTTTAAACTTTATTTAACCAAAAATGACCTGGCCAAGAGGTTCACACAACAGCAACCTGATAACATGAAACCAAGACAGTGAAATTAAAAGATTAGTTTAAAATAACTGTAAGCAGTTGTACATTTTGCTCAATGGTTAATGTAACCCTGTAACTCATGAGACCTTTGGATACGAGGTTGCATAGTTTTAGTTAACTTCAGCAGCTTCAACAGGTCACAGGCAAGCAGGGGGAAGCCAGTTGTTTCTGGGGAGTAGGCTGGATCTGACAAAACACAACATAAATACAGCACTCGCACAACAATGTCACCTGCAGACACTTCAGCCAGGCAGTTGCTTTTGTTACAGCAAGTGGAACAGTTGTTTTTCTCCGGTCCCAAGCCTTTTTGCTTCCTTCCTTGGTTTCCAGAAAGACCTGATGGTGCTGAATGAAATACAGAGTGTATTCCAAGTGGACTCCCTGGCAACCTCCCACCCCTTGAGCTCCAGAGAAGTGGATGTCAACACCCCTGACGAAATCTCCGAGCTTTTTGACTCCATCACCTACAGCAAGGTCATGCTCAGCTGGTCCAGTTACAGTTAATTGTATTACCAGGGGGTTTTGTGTTAAATGAGATTGCATCACTAATTGAGGCTTGTCTTTTGGGCCTGTGCACTGCTCTTCCACATATGCAGTGTTTTAGGTCACTGGACTCAGACCTCAGAACACAGTAATTAGCTGACAGACCAATCGAACCGCAAAACAACATTCTCCAGCGATGAAATCAATTCCCTGGTCTCTTTGCCACCACCTCGCACGCTGCCTGTCAGGCAAAAGGTCATGGTTTTGATGCTTGACTGGCAAGATGTTTCCCTGAATTGCCTCCAAGCATGCAAATGACTTCTGTGAAGGTGGCGCTTTGCTGTCGTCCCTCTGGGGTGCAGATGGTTTCTTCCCGAGGTGCTGCGGTCTGAAACTGGTTCCAGACGTGCTCCAGGCCAGTGCCACAGTGCTGGCAGACGTGGGTGCACTCTGTATTCCCAGACAGGGCGGGCTTCTTGGCTGGACAAGTCTGCTGGGTGTTGAGAGTATCTCATTCCCATGACCGTTTTCCCTGCCAGACAGGCCCCCTGCAAACTGTGTTGACAATAGTTTCTTCAGTCTTATTTTCTCCTCAGCTCATGTCTGAGTTAAAACCATGGCTTTTGGAGACCTTAAACATACAGTAAATTACAATGTTATTGTAAATTAATTAGAGTTAACCACACTTACTCTGTGAAACAGTAACACAACCAAACAATTAGTCACAGGACTCAATATGCCGCTATAATGTACATATTAAATATGTTATTTATCACCCTTCCTTGGTTGTTAGTGAATCAAGGTCGGATGCCATGTTTTCATTCTGTAGATGTACAATAAATTGTGTTTTGGCTCTGCAGGGAGCCGCGTTGTTGAGGATGATGTCTGAGTTTTTATCGGAAAAGGTCTTCAGAGCTGGGACAAAGGTGAGACTGAGTGTGTGTCATATCCCAGAGTTCAATTTATGGGCAGCATTACACAACACCACTTGTTTCCCTTTGAAGTGTGGCCAGCGTTCAATATCCTACATGCACTAATGTAAACGTAGCATACTTATGCCACGTATTATTACAGCTACTTGAAATTATTAGTTTTTCCAGTTTTGCACAGACTGAATGATGAAGATTCTGCTGTGAATGTCAAAGATATACAGTACCTGCACCAATATTTTATTGCTAAAATATGTGTATCTCCCACAGAATGAGCTGCATACTATATATTACTAGTATGTGATATAATATATATGCTGCTGTTTTGGGTTTAAATAAATTCCTTTGGACACTCATCTGATTCAAGGGGAGATAAGTGAGGCTGCAAAATGTCAAATTCGCCGGAGACTAAGCTGTGATTTCTTGATTATGTATGTTTATTTTTCAGACACCTTATTGAATGTTCACACATAATATTTATCTTTGCAGACATACCTAGAGGCTTTTAAGTACAATACCACAGTTAACAAAAACCTTTGGGAACACCTACAGAAGGTAAGTTTAAACAAGGACACACTTGAAAAGTGTCTGTAAATAAAGTCTCACACTTCACAAATAAAAAGTGACACTAGTTTGGACACATAAAAAAAGATTTTCTGAGCACAGACGTTTGCAAAACATTATATGTATATTGTAAGGAGATTGCATTCAATAATAACTGTTAGCATTCGTAAAATGTAGGAGCAGTTGATTTTTTATTAAAAATATGCTTATTTATATTTTAATAAAGAACTACATTTAGAGCACATAGTATGAATAAACAAGCTTTTAAACCATTATGATCCACTGGTGTCCCACCCACGGCGTAGCCTGCCATGTGCCCGTTGCTTGCAGGGATAGGCTCTGGCTCCCCACGACCCCGATTTGGATAAAGCAGTGAGAAAATGGATAGCTGGATGGAGGGATTTTAAACAATTCAAGTAAAATTCACATGGGCTAATGACAAAGAGTTACTAATGTAGAGCCCATAGCACAACCCCAGTGTTTACTAAACTTGTATTCCTAGAATATTGCTCAGTGATTGACTGCTTGATAATTGCTGCCTTTCATCCCCCCTCCCCTCAAAATCTGTCTCCGAGGGCCCCCCTTTTTTACAGCCATTCTCTTCTCTTCTTTTCTGTTTTCTCACCCCTCTGTGTCCTCCCCCTCCCTCCTCCGGCTCTCCTCCCCAGGCTTCAAGAGGCTCCACAGCTCTTCTCTCCTGCTTTCTTCTGCTCAGCCGGGAATTAACCTCTGCTTGCACCCCGAGTCTGCTGCCTATGTTAACCTCTGCCGAATAAAACATATGTATAAATACACGTTTTCTTTCTTTCATATTTTTATTATTGTTTAATTCGACATGTAGTTTTAAATCACTTTAGACACCTGGCGATTGCAGGAAATACACAGTACGTTCGCTTGTAGATGTGCAGTACTATGATTATAACGTTCAATACTTCTGCTACATTTACTGCTAATGCTACTACAGCTGGTAGCAATGTAGAGGTATGTAAAATAATACAATAATATCTGTTTCAGTGCCATGTGTAAAAGATGTTTGATTTTATTATATAGGACTGTACTAATAGTCGATATGCTATAAGCATATCATTCCTTACATCTTTTAATCCAACTTGATTGGTGAAATGGAAAAGGGCCTGAGGGTTTTTTCCACAGTGGACTATATTCATTTAGAGCTCTTCGTCTTCTGCGTACAAGCAGTTGCACCAAGTCAGACTTTAGCTGTGGTATTGCAAGGTGTCTCTTCAAAGGGGCACGTGTAACGCGCAGACACTCACTGCAGCTCTTTCTGATTTCTCTGCTCCAAGGCAGCAGACGAGCACAAGTTGCAGCTGAAGGTTGGGGTGGAGGCCATCATGAGGACCTGGACTGAGCAGATGGGCTACCCCGTGGTCACCATCAACACCACCGATGGAAGAGCCTCTCAGCAGCACTTTCTCATCGACCCAGAAACCGCTCCTCCACAGCCATCCAAAGCTGGGTAAATATTGCATTTCCTGAGCAACACAGAAAGCGAACAGCTTGTTTCAAGCCAACGTGCTGCAGGCCAGAACTGGAGTTCTGTCCCTGTCAGTCCCAGGTCTCCCCGGATCCCTGCCTCACTCTATCTACAAGGCCCCATGCTCAGCAGATTCAAGAGTTAAATTGGAATAAAAGGTGAGCAGCACTAAGTCAGGCCTTGGAAACGTATTAAATCTGTGAAAGGGGGTTATTTCTTTGCTGGTGAGCTGTAAGTAAAGTGACCCTTCTCCACAGTCCTGCTCATGATTCACGGCTGCAGCAGGCACAACTCTGGGATTTGTAGAATAAAGGCTGTGTTTGTCCCCCATCTGTTGGTAAGCACTGTCCTGCCTGGTTGTTAGATGCTCATCCCAGAGGTTCACTGTGCAGCCGAGAGAATGGAGAGAATGGAGCCGATGAGCAAATTGCTTTGCTAAGGGAAAAGTTAATTCAGTCAAACTGGAAAAGTCCAAGGTGGGAATTTATTGAAAGAGAGGACTTCCTGATCACTCTACTGGGACTTTGTTGCAGACTTTCTAATCAGGAGAAGGACTGACAGTGAACTTGACCTGATCCCAAAACAAACAAAAAAAAGGTTTGGTTTACCAGACAAGTCTCGTGTGTTGACTGTCTTCGCCTCTGTCGCCTCTGTTAGATGGGGGGGCATCTCGACCTCTTCATCTTCCGCAGTGGAGGTCAGGGGTCACAGTTTGGAGAAAAGGGTCCCGCTTCTCAATTCCTACACATTGTTAAAATGTAAAAAAAATCTTGGCCAGAAATAAAAAAAACACTGGACTATTTCCTACAGACTGTCATGGAAATATAACTGTCAAGGAAGCCACAAGAGAGAGTCCTTACCTGAGTAAGGTCTTTATTTCAATATTGCAATATTGGGAGCCCTGCTGCCACTTTGCAAAGTGCAACCAGAGACTCAATTTGTTACAAGCAGTACAGGGTTTTTATAAGACGTTGCGCTGTAAAAAAGCTCAGCGCTTTGTCCCTAAGACAAAACAGATTACATCATAGAGCGAGAGAAGAAGCACTAGATTTGTTATTCAAAGCTAATAAGTTACTTTCGGCTAATTCTAACGACCCAGACAGCATATATTGTTTTGGTACATTGTCTTCTAAAGTAACCTAAACAGTGTACTTTGTTGACGCACTGTTTTCTAAAATTCTGCACGTACTGTAGCACAGCAATTACATCCTTGAAATATACTGTATTATCTAAAAGCACCAATATATTTTTTGCAAAGCTCTCTACATTTTAAGAATCAATTTACTTATTAGATTTCCACTTCAAGACTTTCCATACTTTTACTGAGTTATACTCTACAACGCAGTGATGAGGACAGCATGGTTACCACAACAGCTTATATAGTAGCATTCAACACTTGTTGTGTGACCCTTCTGAATCTGATCTAGTGTAGTTCTAGTGTACTGAAATATGGGGAAAGGAAATGTCCAAGGAAACTGAACTCAGTTAACTTTAACAAGGCCTCAGTCCAGGGTGAAAAAAGCACCCTTTCCAAATGTGAGTTGCTTCGGTCATCTTCTGTGAGACTAAAGCCGTCATCAGTTGGTGAAGGGGTGATCATAGTTTCTTTTGGAGGTTGCCTTATTGCCCGGGTGTGTGCTCAGACAAATAACAGTATCACTGTAGCTGTTCTCATGGTGATTTGATCTCTTGCTCTCTCACAGTTACAAATGGCACATTCCCATGACATTGATGAAGTCAGGAAAACAAGGACAGAAAATGTTGTTTTATGAAACAGGTTAGAATTTTCTCTCCGACCTTTATTTCTCTGTGTAAGACCAAACCCCTTTCTGCTTTCATCACCCCCACACTTGACAGAAATAATGCAAACGGAGGTTTTGTCTCTGATGAAGTTCATTTTTATAACAGAGTGATGATCCTTCACCTGGAAGAGAGGAATCAGTGGAAATTTCCCTAATCCCCTAATTCCCACAACCTCATATATAAAAGAAATAGGGCTTCTTACTGATTTTTTTTCTTGCCCTTTTCATGGGTAGGTGTTACATTAGCAATTGGAGTTTTTTTTAATTGTTGTTCTGGTTTGTTTCTCTGTGTCAGGCTCATTTCCAGACTTTCAGTGCAAAGACACCGAGTGGCTCCTAGCGAACATCGATTGCGCTGGTTATTACAGAGTTAACTACGACTCCAACAACTGGAACAAGCTGCTTCAACAGCTGGAGAACAGTCACACAGTAAACAGCCTTAATGTTTTTGATGTGTATTGAGTGCATATGCTGAGTATCAGATGTACAGCTATGGAGATCCTGTTGTACATTTGAGGAGTTTTGTTTCAGTGGAATAAAAGAGAAAATGATGCATCATATTTTGGAATCCATTTTCAGATATATTGCAATATTTTACAAATGGCAGAGGACTTGCAGATGGAACCAATATGTGCTTAATGTCCATTCCGATCCAAGTAAACATATTAGAGCTATCCTTTTGTCTGTACTGTACATCTCATTCTGTATTGTAGAAAGTATATCAATATATTTTTGCAACCAATATTTCATATTGCCATATAGCGTATATCTAAAATACGTTTAGAGATGTATGTCTTTTCACAGGGCTGAGCTCACAGAGATAACATGACAGAGTTAAAGCACTTTCGTTTATTTCGTTTTGAACCCTGTGTGATTTTTTTTATAAACACCATTGAAGTCCCCTTTGGTTTGCAATATTTCCAGCTTCAAATAAAACATAAACAAAATTCTTCTTTCTCATGATATAGTTGACCAGATTGGTCTAAGTTCATCGCACAAAACAGGCTTCCTTTATGAATTCAGCTTCCCAGAATTTCAAGCTCTCAAACACAACTGACTAGGCTTAGCACAGTTTATTTTTGAAAACTTTATCCCGAACAGCTGCACAGAACAGCACTTGTGATCATGCTTTTAGCCACTTCTGTTTCCTCTCCATATTTAACCCATCTCATTTTTATACCATTTTCAGGTAATACCAGTCATCAACAGGGCCCAGCTAATTGATGATGCCTTTAATCTTGCGAGGTAAGTTAAGTTCTTTTGTCAAAAGAAGCTCAGTAACAATAACAGTAGCTACACTTTGACAAACAGCTCATATCTCCGCAAGGTTCAGGTTCCCTTGAGTTCCCACCTGAAAAGGCTCCTGTCACTCAGTCATCACATTGCCCTGTTGCCCTCCCTAAAGTTATTCAGTGGTACCAACGGGTCATGAGTGTCTGGAACAAGCTCTCCAGCCGTGTTAATGAAGATAATATACTGATATTCTGCAAGAAGCAACCCTGCTTCCAATTTATATTTACAATAACAGTTACCAGAAGTTCACTATTATGGTCTGTTATTAATCTGAAAAGACAATTTATACCGTATTTGCAAAAAAAGCATCCAAAATTGGGCAGAGTTACAACCCTTGTAAGTCCAAAAGTCATTTCATTCCTTAAATGTTTTAAGCTCCTTTTTCATTTAAAATGAGAAAATGTGTTACAGGAACAGAGCTAAGCTATTCACCCTTAATGACTCTGGAATTGAAACTGACCAGCTTTTAATTGCAGTGTGATTACATTTCTGAGGGAAGGCTTATTTTGCTTCATTATAAAGTGTTTATGCTTTCAGAAAATTGAAGAAGCATGCAAAAGACCTCACTGGTGGGATAAAAACTCCAGAAATCCTATTGGGAAAACTATCACAGCTGCTTTTTTTAAAATGATTAATGAATATTTGTTTTTTTTGTCCTTTATAAAGAGCAAAGCACATCAATACCACCCTTGCCCTGGACACAACCAAGTTCCTCTCTAATGAGACAGAGTACATCCCTTGGCAGTCAGCTTTGAATAATCTGGATTATTTCTTCCTCATGTTTGATCGCTCTGAAGTTTATGGGCCACTGCAGGTTAGTTGTTTTCTTTTTGTTTTTATGAGTGATCAACAGTATATATTGTAGACCATTGTGCCATTAAGATCCCAGACACTGAGGGCGATATTGGACTTGGATGGCATTTCCATGACCTGCAGAAGACCTCACAAACAAAAGGCGCATGTTCTTTGAAGAATCTGGAATCTGACATTTCTCTCTTTATATCAAACCCAGAATGTCATGATGGGATTATTATTTTATTCATTATGCTTGTGCACTTTTTTTATTAGTTTTTATTAGTTTCCCCCCTGCTTGAGTGAATATAAATCAGTTTTACTGTATGCCAAACTAGTTTAATATGACCACAATACCCAAGTGTGCCAGGGCTTGTCTTAATAATTCGACATACATCAGTACATGTCTCCATTAATAATCCTCACAGTAATACCTGGGTTATTGAATTGACATCCAGGAAATAACTGTACTCAGCACAAAATATAAAACATATGTACACTTACAGACGCATAGTTATTCACTAATTCAAGCATATTAAATATTGTCTGTGAAACCATACTTAGCAGCAGTTCCTCCAGAATGTTAATTGAACACTCATTCATCATAGCTTGGGTTATTGGCACTTTTGTTAGATACTGTACGGTGCTTAACCTGTGAATCCTGTGGAGGACGGATTCTAAAATGGCCTTTGATGTTTTTCAAGAGTGTTTACACAAATGAACTTGATTCCAATTTCAGATCATATTGAATGTTTACAATCCATTTAGTAACCAAAGGAGTATGGTCTGTATCTGCTCTACCCATTCTGTTTTTTTCTGCTTAATTATTCTGCAGGCATACATAAGGAAGCAAGTAATCCCTTTGTACAACTACTTTGAAAACATCACTGCTAATTGGACAAGAATTCCAGATAATCACATTGACCAGTAAGTGACATTATTTCCTTTATATAAAGGACAAGACGTTCAAAAATGAGAGGCTCCATTTTAATTCCAGACAAAACTAGTCTTGCAGCACAGAGCATAGCAATGGATCAGATCAACACTGTGCCACTCATCTGTGGACTAAAAGTCTCAACTTCAAAACCGGAACAGGCAAAAGAATTGATGTTTGTGTTTTAATTTTCTAATCCCTGAAACAGGGCTTCTGAATGACTCAGTCAGCAGAGGCACTCGAACAGAACACATATAGTCAAGACAACTCCGCTCTAAGCCTGTTCCATCGGGCTGCAGTGTCCACACAACTGGCGCACAACCATACCCCCGCAGTACTGGGGGCCTTGGCTGCCCCTGCACGAGGGAGTCCCTTGACCTGTTGGTCACCTGTAAGTCTGCAGTGATGTCACTGGGAGCCGCATCTCTCCTCCAATCAGTGTTAACTCACCTGTAAGACACTGTGGAGCTCAAGTGCAAGAACTGGGGAGCCTTGGCTCCTTGCCCTCCCTCCACCATATACAATTTCTTGTATTAGGAATTTGTCTTTTCACATACCCCAACTTGCTCTCCATGTGACACACAGACAGGGAGAGAAGCTTGTGTCAGAGCATAGGGCCAGCCATTTATACAGCACCCCTGGAGCAGTTTGGGTTAAGGGCCTTGCTCAGGGGCCCAACGGAGTAGGATTCCTCTGCCAGCTGCAGGATTCGAACCTTCCAGCCACAGGCACACATCCTTAGCCTCAGAGCCACTGAACCACCCCACAAGCGCTCTACAAGCACTATAGCCATGAGCCAAAGTCATGAGAAATGTCTGATTCCAAATTGGGTATAAATAAATCGCTGATTCCAAATTGGAGGCTGATGTTTAGCCTGTAACAGCCTACGGCAACTTTGGATCTTTGCGGATCATGAACAATTCAATTCTGTGTTTGTCACACAGATCGGAGAGGCGATCGTTAAAGTCTAAGTTCCATCAGCTTCACACTTTTTTAAAACACTTGTGCAGAACAACCTATCAGTGTCACCTCGACACAGGAAGTGTGAGAACCTGCTCCCCAACCACCCCTGTGATGTCACACATTCCACCATCATTCATCCGATTTCCCTTCTGCCTGCCTAACACTTTCTCTCAGGGTTGTGGTCTTGGCTTTGCTGCCTGGAGAAAAAACAAATGCAGAATGAAACTAGAATACTATACCGTGCTACTTAAAAACACTACTTCACATGTGTTTCAGAACATAAGAAAATTGTAGTAACTGTCTTTTTGTTCTTCATCTCAGGTACAACCAGGTGAATGCTATCTCCGTCGCGTGCAGCAACGGGGTGCCTGAGTGCCAGGAGATGGCCTCTGGTCTCTTCAAACAGTGGATGATGAACTCCAGCGCCAACCCGTGAGTCTGCTTCCGCTTCAGTTTCGATGCTCTTCTCTCTGTCCCGCCTTGCTCGGAGCTGGCGTTTTCAAAGCGCTTCCATTTGTCTCCTCCCAAATGCTTCCCAAACCCTGCCACCTGCCGCTGGCCGGCGCCAGGATTCACCCCAACCTGAAGAGCTCAGTCTACTGCAGCGCCATTGCCGCGGGGGGAGAGAGGGAATGGAACTTTGCCTGGGAGATGTTTCAGAACACAACCGTGGCCTCGGAGAGGGACAAGCTGAGATACGCGCTGTCCTGCTCCAGGAAGATCTGGATCTTGAGCAGGTTAGAGGAAGGGAAATAAAACAATCCTGCCATTCTGCAGCTCCCTGCATACATCCCAAAGACACGTTCTCTTTTCCATTGAATGCACGGGTCGGGTGGGAACAGCAGAATCATATTGTTTTTCCGTGTCTGCAAATCACAGCAATGACATGTTTTCTGGCCATAGAAAAAGAACAATAAATCTATATAGGTTACGTCAAATCACCACACACAAAGACAAAACGCCAAAAATGATTTACTGCTAGAACAGAAATATAATTTCCTTACATTTGCACTGTCTTAAGCAGTCTTAAAAGGAAAGCACTGTTCAATTTCTGAACATGTCTCAGCTAGAGAGCTATTAAAAGACCCCCACCCAACACACACACTTCAGTTTTTCTTTATGAGGACCTCCCAGTGTATTTTGATTTTCTTTTCTCGACTCTGCCAGAGATGACTCTAGACTGAGGTCAAAAGCAGACCCCAAACAAATAACTTTAGCTCTAACAGAATTAAAAGGCAAAGTAATTTATGGAGACATATCATTGTGTTTATCCACAGTTAATATCATTATGAGGTAATTTGTTTAGATTATGTATCCAGTTTAATACTTAAACATGCTCACAAGGACATTATATCCTCATTAGTTCTGTGCTTTTGTCTTCTATGAGTCTTCAGCTGTTTTTCTGCCTTCTTAGCTTGCTGGAGAAAGGACTTAAATTTAAGAGTGGGTTTAATAACACTAATGATTATACATTTTTTAAACTAAGTCCTAAAATGACTTAAAAATAAAGACTTTTTGAACAGCAGATCATAGGCTCATGAGACATTTCATCCTTTATGTTTTAAAATATAGATAAACTAAAATGTCTAAAACAACTTACAGTGAGTACATGTTTATGGTTCAATTAAACTGTGGTGCAGAATACTGTGCTGATCTGTTTATTGGAATGTGACCTTTCTGCCCATTTTTCCTTTTCCTTGGAAAATTCAGTATGCCCCACAGATTCCAGTGGTTTTAAAAATCAAATCAAAGAAATGATAAAAGGCAATCATATTCTGGGAATGACACAACGGAAAGGAAAAAAAGGCTAATCAAATTTCTTTCTTATTACTTTTTGGAAACCTCCTACACATGACAAATATCCACTGAACAGAAGGAAAAACATGACAGAAAAACTTACTGAGGTTGTAAAGAGGTGTTGTGCTCATGTAATCTCTGAACCTGTGCTGCAGATACCTGGAGTACACCCTGGATCCGGAAAAGATCAGGAAAATGGATACCACTTCGACCATCAACTACATTGCCAGAAATGTAGCAGGGCAGTCCTTAGCTTGGGACTTTGTCCGAGCCAAGTGGTCCTTCCTACACGGAGAGTGAGTCTGCCTCGTTTTTCCCATCATTTCGTTATAGGAATAGGAGAGATAGAAAGCTAAATCACAAGCTAACAAATACTTAAGATCATACCCTAACATGGACGTAATACATGATGTATTTGTATTTGTACATCTAAACTAGCACTGTAGGCAAGTAATTTCAGTTGTTAGATTGCAGTTGTAAAGTGTATCATCGAAAGATAAATGCTCGGTTATATTCTGAACAAGCTCAGTCACACCTATCTGGGAAGATACAAGAAGGCAGCAAGCATACCTGACTCCCTTATAGGAGGCAGTATTTTTTATGACTCCCCTTTCTTAAGGAAGCCCAGCTACAGTAACTATTATTTTGATTGTCGTGAGCTAGAAGGTACAGTAAACATGCAGCAATGTAAATAGTTTGGAAGCTGTTTGTAGACTCGGTGCTGTGCTGTTCCTCGTTGCAGATACGGAGGAGGAATAATGTCTTTCGGCAGCCTGATCGATGGCGTGACCCAGCGGTTTTCTACGGAGTTCGAACTCGAAGAGGTAAAGCGACAGGAGAGTCTTAACGCAGCACAGCACGCAAAGTGATCTGTCCGCCCCTGTGAAACTCACACGGGAGATATCTCCTGTGTAAACCCAGCCTCCTGCGAATAACGAGCGAGGCACACTCACAGCTCACACACGGACAAAAATCTGGGAGCAAAAAACAGGATGAAAATATCTATTTATCCAAGTGTTACAGTTATTGTAGGTCCACCAAGCTCATTGGAATGACTGAGCACCATGTAAATGTGTAGCTCAAAAGTCAAACTTTGCTCTTCTTTGAAACTGCACAAGGTTCAAATGCACCCCTAAGGATTTCACCCCTAGCACGACTTTGTTTTAGAGGTACCTACTCACACATGGCCTTATTTCATTATAAGTGCTGTCTTCTCACACACACCCAGATAAACACATCGCAGAGTAGATTCCCTGCCTGTATGTTTCTAACGGTCAGACACAACTTGTTACACATGTGAATGGATTGCCCTGTGAGACAGCCCACTCTGAAGACCATTACAGGTCAGAAAGGTGGAGCTGCCTGCTCCCTTTGTATTTGACAGGTTCAGTATTAGTGCTGCCCTAGTGCAGCTGTGAACTGGGCTCTTGTATTTGCTGCCCTGTGCCTTTAGACTGTGCCTTTCTCCAGCTCTCACCTTTCGGATAAGGGATGGGTGGACAAAATGTTCCATATGTGTGAAGGTTTGTTTCTTAAAAAACAAGGACAGTGAACACAAATCTGAACTAATTCTTGCCCAGTATGCCAGGTCAATAAGATCATTCCTGACCCCATCCCAGATATCGCAGAATTAAACCTTGTATGTACTGCGATGTAAAATTCTTTTTTTTTCCAATTAGATCAAGCTGGGTTTTTTTCCCTCTAGGCAGGTGTACAGATTTGTTTCACCTTTGCTGTACCCCTCTGAAAAAAAAAACCTCCAGCTGCAAGCACAGAACATAACAGCCTCCCCAGCTATTGAAGCAGATCCTTCACTGGCAGGGCACCTTCAGTCTGGCCAAAGAGGCTACTTCGAGAAGAACGAGGAAAGCAAAAGAGCCTTATAAAAGAAATGACTCACAACTGTGAGAATCGTTTCTAGTAAATGAAATGGGAAATAAAACCTTAGCGAATTAGTAAGTTAAACCCGGCTCAGGACTGTACCTGGACTGGGCCGCTCTGTGAGGCTCTCTCAGGGGTTTTCTAATCCCACTCCCTTCCTCCTGTGTCCCCGGGCAGCTGGAGAACTTCAAGAGACAGCACGAAGAGACGGGCTTCGGCTCGGCCGCACGCGCCCTGGAGCAGGCCCTGGAGAGGACCAAGGCCAACATCAGATGGGTGAAGCAGACCAAGGCCTCCGTGCTGGCGTGGTTCCGCAGAGAGTCTGGGGACTACTGAGTCACACAGGTCCTCGCCACACAGGCTCCTCTGGACGGAAAGCAGGACCACACTCCAAAGCTGTGTCTTCTGGGGAGCTTTCAGAGCTGCCACTGGGTGAAATTTAAGCGTCTAGGGGGAAAAAAATCACTGAAAATATTAGTTATTTCATGAACTCTACAAGAAATAGGAGAAGTGAGAAGTACACAGAGACACAAGTCACTGTTGTCACTTCAACAGACTTAGAGGATCTTTGATTGTGTTTGGTAATCCGCAACATCACTGGAAGGGGGTGAATATTTCCGCAGGGCGCTATATACATCCGAGCTGTTCTCCCAAATGCCAGCTTTCCAAGGTCAGTCCCTTTCCTTGTTTTTTTCTTTTAAAATCTTACTGAAATGTTCTAAAATCGTGCTTTAAATAGGAAACATTTAATCTATTCATCTAAATCTTTTTTTAAAGACATGGCCTTAGAGCAGAGAGTGTTCATAGACGCTCCTGGCAATTCTGGTCCTCAAGTCTGATGTTATCAAAAATCCATGAAGAACGGATTGTTTATTTTTTATTGCCTTAAAATGGGACTAATTTAACAGAAGATGCACTTTAACTACCAGTAAAGGAACAAATATTAAATCATGACCGGCACACAGAAATAGTACTGTTCAGCTGCAGTCTTAAATTCCTTCTATTTTATTCTGCAATTGAATATGCTTTTGTTCTGTTTAAACTAATGGTTTTCCATTTCTGAAACGGATTTCCTGTAATTCACTCATTCAGCAGGGTATATCTTACTCCATCTTCGCTACAAATATTGAACTTTCAAAAGAGTTCATGGCAAATCTTCGAACCTAATTGCATGATTTGCCACAATCTGAAAATGGCGTGCAAATAAAAATTGTCAGAACCCATCTTATTCTCTTTGGAATAGATGCCAAAACTGTATAGATAACTATTATATTTAAGATAAATATATATCTCTAGAGATATACATCTCTTAAGTCTGAAATCCTTCATGCTGACAGTTATATTTTTCTGACGTTTCTCAGTACTTATTTTTGCACTCCCTGTTTATGGTTATTAAATGTATATAAAAAGTTGTAAACATATATATTTGCAATGATTTTTAGATACAGCTTCTATCTGCAGCTTTTCGGAGAAAATAAAGAATTATAATGGTCTTTGTTGCAGTCTATATTTTCATTTGTGAATAAACTGTACATGTTTTTTGTTATATTGAGAAATATGTAATGCCACTATTTAACCACAGCACCGCCCTGATAGCCACATTAGGTCCCAGGAGGAGTAGAAGTCATAATCGGTGATTTGACCGATACTGAAGATTCACAGGACTCTGAACAGGAGGTCCTGAGCCGGCAGGGGTGAGGATGAAAGCCAGGGGTCAGCAGACCCTGCACCAGGAAGATACGATGCCCTAAACCTTGTGTGAGGGCTGGCACAGATGCTCAGTAAATAATAATAATAATAATAATAATAATAATAATAATGTTTCTTTATCAGCCCTATACAATTTCTTGCATTAGGAATTCATCTTTTCGCATACCCCAGCTTTTCTCCATGGAGCACAGACACACAGACAGGGAGAGAAGCTTGGGGTCAGAGCGCAGGGTCTGCCATTGCACGGCGCCCCTGGAGCAGTTGGGGTTAAGGGCCTTGCTCAGGGGCCCAATGGAGTAGGATTCCTCTGCCGGCCACAGGATTTGAACTGGCAACCCTCCAGCCCCAGGCACAGATCCTGAGCCACAGAGCCACCACTCCGCCCCCAAACATGCTGTAACCATGGAGCTGCATTTCATTTAGAGACGGGGAAGGACTACTTTCTTTCTGACAACACCCTTAAGCAAGCTGATAAGTTCGTCTGTCTGACGAACAGTGCTAGGTTTTCAGACATTAATAACAATCACCACGATATACAGCAAATGGGTACAAAGTTGCCAAGGCTGACTTGGCAAAACACAAGAGAGAAAATGTGAAGGGATCACTTTAATAGATTTTGGAAACGTTTCTCTGTAAACTGTACATGCCGTGAGACTAATTAAACTCTTCCTATAGAACTAAGAACAGGAGGAAGTGATTGTGAGTTTCACCTTCCTTAGAGACAGACAGGGAGTGATGTACAAATTCTCTCATAAAAGCTAACACAACAAAGTCCTGGAGCAAAGACTAAAGGTAAAAATTAAGTGTTTAATTCACAAAACTCAGCAATACCATGGTGAGAGTTTACACATTGTAACTGAAATATAAGCATTTATGATGAGCAACTTCAAGGAGGTGCCTTGAAGATTCACCTTCTTCAGAAGAAATTTCCACGGGACTGAATTCCCAAGGCCCGTCTTTGAAAACGCTCTAAAACATCCTTCTAAAAAAGTACAGATTGACATATAAGGTGCTTGGGAAAAATAGCTGGTCTGGGATTCTGCCTTGCTAAGTGATGGCATCTGATGCACATACAGTACAGCAGTGACCATGGCCAAGACCAGCACACTGTCCTGCTGTCTGTCAAGGCTGGGTGTGTGGAAAGACATGGCCAACAGCCGCAGGAAGCTGCTTAGTGTCCAAGTTGGCTTTGTCTGGGAACATGTTCCCCATGGTTCCATTTTCCACCAAGCCCCACAACTCCACTGTGCCATCTTAGCAGCCAACTAAATTTCTAAACATCCTGTATAAAAACAAGAATCTCACATTTGCTTGAATTTAACTGTGATGTGCTGCAGTCATTTATAGCAGTTTAAAGGACAGCTTGACACTCAGATGATTCTCCATGAAAGTATAGAGGTAAACATTTATTTATTCTGAAGCATCATTAAATACGGTTGTAGAAGTATACATAATCTTGTGTCCTTAAGAGTTACAAGCACTGTTATTCTCCCTCAGATAAGCAGTAAGCATAAACATTTCTAGTAGTCTGCAGCAGATGTGTACTACACAAAATACATTTGTTTCAGACAGTCCTTAGTAAATTGTTTCATTAATCCATTTATGATCCAATACAATGATATTAACAGAAAATCATTTTCCAATAAAGTAAAGACAGCATGAAAAATCAGCAAAACACCAAGATGGAAAACTTTATTGTGAAGATGAATAAAACTGGTTGTAGGGCGGAATGCATTCTGTAATACTGAGGTGACTTCACTGAGTTTAACGTATTTTACTGAGAGAGCATGTGGTTAAAACTGAACTCCAAGCTTTTAAAGTTTAATTACACCAATATGCTATTAAACGGTCATATTTTACAGATTCAATAAAATGAAAACTCCACAGACACAAGAGCAGCAAAGACTTTCCCTGCTGGAATATTAATAATAGTAATTGCTTACACTTATAAAGCACTTTTCTGGACACTCCACTCAAAGTGCTTTACAGGTAATAGGGATCCCCTCCACCAGAACGCCAGAACGCTCACCACGCATCAGCTCTCAGTGGGGAGGAGAGCAGAGTGATGAAGCCAATTCATAGATGGGGATTATTAGGAGGCCATGATTGGTAAGGGACAATGGGAAATTTGGCCAGCACGCCGGGGTTACACCCCTATGATATTGGCTGTTGGCTACTGGTAGCCCAGGAGAGGAGCTGCTGCTTTCTTCAGACATTAGCAGTGTCCATGATTTGGGATCCATGAGTTCAGACACCAGGACTATGAGAGTGACCCATTTATTTGTGATCATGTGCCAGAAATTTTGTGCCGAGGGGATGCTGTCTGAGGGTAATGTCTTAAATTTTACTGGCTGTATTTAGAGACTCCAGAAGACAATTCTTATCACTCAGTAGTTCAAAAAAATATCCTTGATTTGTGTTATCATGATAAGCGTGCTCATAGAAGAAACCTGGTGATTTTGTCAGGTTATAAACTGACAAATGTAACAGCTGTTGGAACACGCACGTGTCTGATACAGGCCTGCTGAAACGGAGCACCTACAAACTTCTGCCATCCACATCAATCCTCCTGAAAAACAAAATCAAAGATGGAATGAAACCCTGAAAAGTGTGTTCAGTAACACACATTTAAAACGTGGCTTAATCACTTTTCCTCTTGGTGGAATATTTCTTTTGGATATTTGGTGATAAGGAAAGAAATCATTTTGCTCTCAGTGAGGATGAAACTGGAAAAATCCTACCACCCCTCATCCAACATTTTATCGTTTCTCGCCCTCATGAGTTAAACCAAAAATGAATACGAAACAACGTATATGCAGGTGTTGCTGCCTAAGAAAAAACACAGACTGCACTCCAAGTGTATTTACCACCAGGAAGAAGACTTCCAGAAATGCACATAGAAATGAAACTCCCTTTAGGATCTACAGTAGATTAGTATATCAAGAATAAACAAGAAGATGTTGGTATGCCCCAAAAACGTCACCAACAATAAAACAGTACTCCTTACCCACTCATCGTCCTCCGCGCCCTCACCCGGCCCTCTGTCTTTCACAGCCACGCCCACCCCTGCTTTGTTAGACATGATCTTGTCCGTCCAGGAGGCCCCTGTCTTTCCATCACCGGCAAAGTTGCACTTGGTCACTGAGCCACCATCCAGCTTGGCTAAAGAATCTGCAACACATTCACACTTAAAGGTTAAAGTGCAAAGTTGAATGGTAGATGGAAAAAAACAGGTTTAGTCCAAACCACACCATGCTGAAAATGTATACATTTTAATTTTAATCTACAGTACCGACACAATGCACATGCACTGCACTTTCAGTCATCTGAAAACCTACTCACTGTGAGCAGGAAGAAGGCCACCAAAGCAGGGCTTCAGTTTAAATTTCATCACATTTCAGCATGTATATCCGTGCTCACAAATGAAAATCACATTTTAATTTTGCTGACTTGAACAACTAAACCTGACATTTCTCATTTCCTTCACCTACTAAGAAGTATCGTGCTTCTTTTCATTCCCAAACTGTGTTCTTCAGGAGTTCCTCTCATGGCAGCACAGTTAAAGAATCAGGTCTTCCGCCGGTCGGACACTTACAGATGAACGGCCCGTCCCCCTCGGTTTTCAATCGGATTTCCTGGCCCTGCTCCAGCTCAATCATCTCCATCTCTCCCTCTGGGATCCAGAAGGCCAGAGACTGGCTGGGTGTGTGCTTCTCTGTCACCTTCACCAGCTCTGCCTTGTTAATCAGAGCCCTCAGCTCCTCGTCTGACAGCCGGTCTGTCACCCCTTTTGCCTCCACCTCTGGAAATCAAAGACATTCCTTTCATCCCTCTAACATCAGCTCTCCTCTGCTTCAGAGTGTAGATACAGGTATACAGCTCTGCAGTCTGCTAGCATCTTCCATTTTCCATGCTAATGTGCTACTATTCTGCTCCCCCTCACATACAGTATTTGCAGACGATGATTTTATTGGCCTCTATCTGAAACAGGGACGTTCGTTTATGTAGTAATTCAATACAACCCCATACAAAAGTAATTATTATTGAACGCGATCTCAGTCTCAATCTGCAAACCAGACATTTTTACAGTCTAGACCGCACATCGCTGAATTGAATTTTCTTTTAATCCACACATTTCACAGATCAAATGCATGTGTTAAACAGATGCAGCAGTGTTTTCAAACCGGCACAAGATGCACGCTCTTTGAAAGTCGCCCACCAGTGCTCAGGCATGACAGAAAGGGTCCGGAAGAGGCTCACAGAAACCTACAGATGTCACGCTTTGAGTGCCTGATGGGAATGAGGAATGAGTGCAGGAGTGAGGAAGACTTACTGTAGGATGACATGAGGTAGCCCGTGTTCACTTTCTGGCTTTCACTGAAATTTGGTTCAATTTCATTTCCCTTTGCATCAAACTTCCTCCTGTGGGCTTGGCTGGGTTGGATGTACAGAACATAGTAGCGATCCTGCACACATCAAGCAGGGAGAGGCATCAGCGTGTGCACGGCCTTCAGTCACTTCAGTGATAACTTATTCTTATTTAGCTACTGCTGATACATTCCAGCTCCGCAACCACTGACTGCTCAACAGCTACCGGTCCGAACTTCAGCACCGAGCGTCTGATCTTTACGTTACTTGCTTCAGGTGGGAAAGTAAGTATGGAAGCCCAGATGGGAAATTTGCTTTGCAGACAGGTAAAGACATAACACATCACACAATACATCTAACATACAATGCACTTAACAGATGTATGGTGAGAAAGGAAACAAATATAAAGTAAATGTACAGTCAATTGTCCAAATTCAAGCAGGGTTGAATGCTGTGGGAATAAAAGATGACTTATTTCTATTACAACAGCCACTGTCTTTTTTTTACATTTGTCAGATCTTCCTCCAACACTGGGACCACACCAATTAACTGGAAACACACAAAATCGACATTACTTACTACACGTAATCCACAACAAACTTATCACTTGACTCATGTCAGGTTGACTCATATACAGTACAGGTGACCGTAACCTGTGCTGGTCTACTCATGTGGAGAGTGCTTGCTCCAAAGTTCAGCAGCGCTTATATTTCCTGCGAAGACCAAGAGTGTTTGGGGTTCGACAGGAAGTAATGCTACTCTGCTACCGTGCTGTAATCGAGAGCATAATCAGGTATGGCGTTTCAGTGTGATTTGGTTTGGTCATCCATCTGTTCATTTTAAATCGCAAATTACCCGCCTCATCCAGACAGCTTCGAAAGTCATGGGAGTGAAACAGCTCCCCTCCCTGCAGACAATCTTTGAAAAATCCCTAATCAAACAGGCAGGAAAAATTATATCAGATCCTTCCCACATCCTCAACTCTGAATATCAACTTCTTCCTTCTGCAAACGTTTCGGGGTTCCCAAATGTAAGTCAAACAGATACGAACATTCCTGTGTTCCACTATCCATTAAAGCTGTCGACGTAAATGTCAAGGATAAACACAATTCTTACAACCCACTTGAGTGCAATATGTTTTTGTGAGGTGTTATAAATGTTACATGTTGTTATGTGTTATACTGTACACGTGCAATAGAATGACGTGCAATGTTTTTCTGTTTTTTTTGTAATAGTATAAAGTGCAATGTTTTTCTTAATTTTTGTAATAGTAAAATGTGCAATGTTTTTCTTCTCTCTTTTTTTTGCATTCTATTCTATTTAAATGTACATTTATGTGTCCCAAAAAATGTTTCCCTCAGGGGACAATAAAATCTTATCTCTTATCTCTATCTCTGACACAGCATCCCACCGCTGTTAAAATCCAATAGGCAGACAGCTCTTTTTTACTCATCTGAGTATGATAAGCCTTCAACACTTTACACATCAAATCAGGATCACAGATTTTCTAAAAGAAGTTGGGAATTCACGTTCTCTATATCTGGCAATAAAAAGCTCAAACGCTGTTCCAGACGGAGTCCACCTGTGCGAGTCAAGAAGTGGAGTTTGTGAAAGACCCTCAGCCGAGAGGGAATTTTCAATCGACTGAAGCGTCTGGAGTCCGCGATGCACTGTCCTCTCAGAAACATCTTCCATGTCTAGGCACGAGTGTCGCCTGATCTTTAGGGAGTTTTAGCAGGGAGAGACTACCTTAAAACACATTATTTCAAACCTCTCACGTCTGAGGATCTAAAGGTAGCAAAAAGGGTTTTTTCGTTCCCAGCCGACTCCACAAGTAAGGGGGAATAGTGAGCGTGTTTGAAAACGGGATATAACCTTCCAGACTCGAAGGATGATTTACATTTATATCCCATGTCCCCTGCTTACGAACATCATGACGTTAAAGCTATGTTGCAAGACTGGAAAAAAAAAACTACACATGGACAGTCATACATACCTTTCGGCCACCGGCGTCCGAGATGACGTGACGGGACACATCAACCAACTTCCCTTCCAGAATCACACCAGCCCCCCTGGGGAGATCAAGACAGCACTGACCCGCCAGAAAGCCACCGCTGCAGTTTATTAAACGTGTCGGTGCGACAGTGTAGCCTCGGTTGCTACATCGCAATCGGACTGCGCAGTCTTCGATGCAGACACACCTTTTTAGCACCTGAACTAAAACGCAAAACAAAGACAAAATAACTTACGATTTAATGCATCGCTTCCTGTACGAGTCTGCCTGAAAACTACTTTTTTAAATCCGATATGGTGCCGCACTGAAAATGTTTTTTTTTTCATTTTCTTGCAAAACTGAGGTGAATTAAGATTTTCTGCAATTGCTTTCATCCTATTTCAAAAAAGACGGCAACTCACGATTCAACACCAATTACGGTATACCTCCACGCAACTCACGACGTAAATCTGAGCCCCCGTTGTCTAGTCTAGTCGATATTGATGATGGGGGAAAAGTTTGCTGGAGCCTATTTACAGTATACAGCACTGTAGTGGGTTTTACCTTTGATAAGTGGAAGGCTGCCACACACTAGTTAGCTTCTCATTGTTGACGGGTTTGTTCTGCAACGCCGTGTTGTGATAAATGCGACTCATGGTACAAATATTATTTTTAACTATGTAAGAAAGCAAAAGACTATATTTTCCCTGTATTTTGTCTTCCCACACCTAACTTAACATCACGCCCCGTTCCTCCTACAAAGGGAACAGACGCGTAAGGCCTTAAGGGGTGGCGGGTATCGTGCCGCCTTCACATCTACACCTGGTTGCGACTGTTTCAGTTAAATCGCGTTTCCCCTTTTCCCCTCAATTCACAGATCCAGAATGGCAAGCTCACAGGATTTCTGGAAAACAAATAAAAACAACCAGTGAATACTAATTTAATTAGTCCCCCTCCCCCTTTAATATGGTATGCTCCAATGAACGAGTCGCCATTCTCCGAAAATTTAAAGACACATTTCTGTAAAGCGTTTCTACCTGTCATGCTTGACCAGAACGATACCCAATAGAACTATTGTATGTCGTTATTTATTATCATTAATATTATATAAGTGAATTATTGACAACATTTTAAGAATGCCCCACATATGCATATTTAATCAATATAAAAAGGGTGTAGAAAAACATTTTTATACAAAAAATAGTTAAAAAATCCATGCAGCTCTAGATGTATTTATTCCAATGTGTTTCCTGCATAAAAGAGCTACTCATATGCATGAACAGTAAAACCTCAGAAATTAGACAATTGCTTCTGATCCTTGTCTTTTTGTCCTCATTTCTCCCTCTCAGGAATTTCTCTTATCTGGTCAGATCTCAGCTGCTAAGCAAGGCTGGGCCTGGTCAGTCCTGGGCTGGGGGGCCTCTAGGGAAGACCAGGCTGCTGCTGTAGTGCTGTTGGTGGACCAGTAGGTGGCACTCTTTCACATTCCCTCTTCCCTGGATCAGGATTTCAAAAC